GGGCAGGTTGCCCCACAACTCTTAAGCTGTGGGGGCGGTGACCCACAACTTTTCATAAGGCCAGGAACCGTTGGGGCAGCATGTCCTCCCCAACTTAGGGGCTGTGGGTGGGTCACAAAGGAAGAAAGCATGTAAGGGAAAATCACCTCTTTCACTGGCTCGGCAACTTATTTGGCAGATTAAAACCTTTATTCCAGGCTGTCAAAATGGTAGTTTCTTCACTCAGCTGAGACGGAATACCTCACATTTTTGCAAACGTTTTCGTTTTTTTTTTCGTTGAAAAGGCCGAGGTGTGAATAATAAGTGGCCTAAAACCAGTGAGAAAACTAGATTTGGGGGTACCCTAGGTTGATCTCTATTATGGTGCAGCCCCCCCCCAAACTGGAAGGAGTTCCCGTGTCACTGTACTCCTCCCCGAAAACATATATGCACGTTAGAGGCCGTGAAAAGGCTAATGCGGGCGAGGGCTAAGATCAATTCTTAAAAGCCTTTAAGAGGAGCTACTAAACTGCATGGGGTCATAGCGCCATCAGGAATTCGAAATCAATTGCGGAATGGGGCGATATGAGGTGGTTCCAAGACGCGGCATGAATGATGCATCAGGTGCCAGCACATTGCGAGGATATTTACCGGACATTGGCGAACGTGACTGTCTTATTGCCCATGCAGTACTGATGTCATATCACCGCGGGTAGTTCCGTTACAACGAAACAGTACGGTACACGTGATATATTAGGCCTTCATCTTATAAGGGCCGGATGTTTGCATCTGAGGTGCGTTTTTGTGGCGATCCTGGGAGTCGCTCCAGCCAGGGGCGCTCCCGGAACACCATAAATTGCCGCCGAGTCTGGGACTGATGTATGTCATGCGTGCACTTTTCCACCTCTCTCTTTTACCGCAGTTCTGGACTTGGAAATGACATTTTTGTTGATCGGGAAATACGATTCTGAGGAGTACCAAGTGGATAACATGTATATTAGGGGTTATGGTTTTGTGCTTCTTCCCGATCCGCTCATGACGAATAAGCCTCAGTCTGCAGTCTCATGCTGAAACCCCCGAGTTGCTACGTTTTTTTTTCTGTGACCTTAATAAGGATCATGCTACATGTCACTGACTTTTTGTTTGGTTTTGCATACAGTCATTCTTGTCTGCAGTCCTCTCAATTTTTCCACAGCTCAACCAAGAGCGTGGCACACCTAAATGTCGCATTTTGAAGCTGCGTGTCGAAGTAACCGTCCTCGCCACTTAACCACGTCAATGATAATAATCCCGTTACAGCACTCCACTAATATCTGTGTATCATATCCCATATCAGCGCACAAAGCACAAGAGCAAACTTAACTCTGTACAAACTGAATCCTGTGTGCGTTACTGTTGGGTTCAATGTTCGTGTTAAAGGCTACCATAATAGGCGTCCATGATAGAATGCCTGTGCATTACATTTACGGATTTGGATATCCATCTCTAAACTTACGGTTTATTACATGGAGCACTGTGAAATCTGTTTAGTATCATGGAATGTCCTCAGCTAACGAAAGCTGAACAACACATGCATTCGTTTTTCAACAGAAATGTTCGCCCAAATGGGTGGGCGTCGGCCAGTTTTCCATTTCGGCAGGCAAGAGTTTTGGTCAGCTCGGCAGGATATTTAGTCAGGTCAGGGAGGTCAGGTAGACTGAAAATGCTGGCTGTCCGTTCAAGTCAGTGGCCAGAGTGGTCGGCCGAGCCGACCACTCTCGCTGATATCTGTAAGAATCTTGGGCCGAGTATAAATAGGCCGAGCCAGGTCGACAGACCGGTAGGATCCTCAGACGCCAGGTCGGTCCGGTCAAGGCCACCGGTCGATAAGGTCAGCACTCAGCCGGTGGTCAGACTAAGTCTGTGGGCCGGTTCGGTCAGGTCACCAGGCTGGTCCGCTCAGGTCAACTGGCCGGTCCGTTAGGGTCACCACGGTCAGGTCACCAGGCCGGACCGGTCGGCAGGTGTCCGCCGGCGGTCTCTCGAGCTCTGCCCTCGCTCAGCGGCCGTCACCACAGGCCGTCTGTCGTCGCGCTAACCACCGTCAGTTGGCGGCAGGCGGCCCTCCAATGGACGGAAGAGGAGGATCAATAGATGGTTTCCCCGTAACCGGCGCACTATGGGTCCGATGCAGGAATTAGCACGCCAAAAATGATAACTGCCATTTAATGGCTGCTTTTACATCAGAGATGAAAGCCAGAACATCCGAAATGGATTTTGCGTGATTTCTAAACATGTAGGAACCGTGTGACATGTGATATGTGACGTGTGTACCTACAGGGTGTCCCAGAATTACCCGGACATTTATTTTCTGGCTAAAAGTACGATTGCGCTCGATTCTAATGATATACAAGCATCATACTTTTATAAGATATCCCTTAGCTATCGAGCTTGGGGACTGTGTGCTTTTGGTGACCGGTAACGACTCGAGTCAAGTATTATCCAGAGTCAAGTAAGAGTAGTACTTTTCCGTTTTCAGCTTAAGCCACTAATAGGCAACCATGGTGAATCAACTCCCGTTTTCAACTTTGTAAACGGACTTTCGGCATGGTTTTTGCTGGAGAGCTTCAGCAGCTCATCTGCAAGCAGTTAGGATTGAGCAAAGCGCAATTATATCAGCTAACGAAGCCAGAGAGAGCAAGAGATAAACCTGATTGACAAGCTTGGGCTCGGCCAAAAAGGGCCATGCACCAGTTGTCAAACGGGTGGTTGCTTGTCATGGACAACAAACGTCACTGGACACTGATCTAGCTAAAAACTAGCTAAACGATAGATCAGGATTATCTAAAGAACATCAGTCTACTTTCCACCACTATCTTCGCAAAATTTTGGAATTTGGGCCTTGGGGTCCCTCGCCTGAAAAATATGCGAAAACTACGGGAAAAGCAGCGAAAATCACTACAATTCACCCCAAAAATATAATATATACAACCAAAAATTAAATTGAAGCACACACTTTGTGGTCTAACGAAGGTATTCTGTCATTTGAACCGCCCGAAAAAGGCGTGTGTGAACGTCAGATGACTACAACGCCCCAACAGCAGAGACGGCCAGGCACCCGTCGAAAATCAAATTGTGAGACATTTTGAGCCACCGTGCACTCATTGGGCTTGATATGATGGCCCAAAGACAACCGTTAGCACAGAGTACTACTGCGGTAATATTCTACCACTAAAAAAACTGGATGCCGTAAGCCAAATGGCCATGAACGGGTTTGTTTTGGAAACCAAATCTGTTGGAAGCCAAAGGTCCTGCCATGTTCAGACATGGAGTTTCTCCACTTCAGATGTAAAAAACGCGGCAAAAGTGGTGTAGGCAGCAATTTTTGTTTTGGGGGATAATGCCTTATGACCTGGGAACACTTTGATGTTAAGTTTATCTTATATGATCGTATTATCCTCCGGCAACAGGTCAAAGAAAACAGGCCTTCACCCAGTTTCGGGAGAGCCGTAAAACAACTGAGACCAGCAATGGCTGGCATTTTCAATCATTGTCGGCTGATCTTGTAACAAGCGCATCTATTGCATGTGCTACTTCACAGCCACCCTAGTTGACTATATAGGACAATAAAAAGAAAAAAGCGCAATCATGTTTGCCTTATTTTATACGCTAATTAACAATGTCCGGGTAATTCTGGGACACCCTGTATATAGTAGTGCTGGACGTTTTTATGTCAACCGTTTTCAGGTTGCAGGCTCTGGCCTCTGACAGACAAAATGTCAGCTGAGTCCAATTTTGGTTTCTTGACAGAAAGCGATCTTCATTGCGATGAGCGGCTATCCATTTTTCCTTTAACTTGTTAAGCAGCTTTCCCAGTGCTCGAATGTCATCAGTCGTCAATTGAACATTCAAAATACGAGCAATGCTAGCTGAAAAATCCTCTACTTGAACCGGCCCTACATCTGGACTGGTCAAGACGGTGTCAAGAATGGCTTTGTAAGCAATACACATTGCTTATCTGCCTGTTTTGCTAGTGATGGAACGACAAGAATATACGTGCGCTCGCTACAATCAAGCTCAAACTACCCCGGCCACGTGGGTACAGTGGGCCGGGCACGCGGTCAAACCGCCTGAGGGCCAGGTCGCCAGACAAGTGCCGAAATGTCCGGAATTCGGACCGCTAACCCGAAAGAACTGCCATTTTTTTTTTTTTTTTTGCAAAGCCATCAGTTATGAGTTTCTGTCATACATTAGTCGTATCCACCAATACCCTGGTATTTTTGCCTTTGTGACCCTGCCGCAGCGCTCGCCGGTATGTCACAGCCGCAGCTAAGCGCAGTGACATCATTGGAAAAAGCTTCATAACTTGCTTCGTCGCAGGTGGACGCAGCTAAATGACCTTGTTTCTGGTCAGGCAAGTATTGGGGAGCAAGGTAATACCAAAAATACCGGGGGGCATTGGGGGGCATTTAGTATTGCTCTGTATTTGTAAGTCTCTTGAAGCATTGCACACACATCTGTGACATGGATATTTAAATTAGCTGTGACAATAAAAAAGCAATGACACAGCTCACTTTTTTTGCATTCATCACATTGTCCAAGCTTCAAATTATTAGTTTTGACCAAATATTTCCGTTTAACTATTATTTAGAACCGCCTATACTCGGATAATTCCAACATCCCTTTTCTCTCGGACGTGGACAAGGCAATGGCGTTCCACGATATGTGTCAGTTTGCGATGAAATATTGGGTACATGTGACATTTTTGGCAAAAGTTACTGCTGTGTTCGCAAAATATGGACATTTTTACGTTATTTGTGTCACATTTCAAGCCATTTTGAGAAAGTCACTTAAATCATTTTTGGCGTGCTAAATCGTGCATCGGACCCATAGTGCGGCGGCGCGGGCCTGGCGCACTATCTCGGCCAGACAGCTGCTCGGTGAGGCGGGCGGCTGCACTGCCCTGCTTGTGAGCCAGTAAATAGACCGCGCCACTGCCGCCGTGCCCACACTGCCAACCGCTCTGAATGAAGACCATTCCGTTAATACAAGCTCAGATTTATTTGACAAGCATCATGAAGTGTTCAGCGAAGGGCCTTATGGACTCTCAATCTCAGGAGCCGCTGAAGGCAGACAGCGATGTAAAACATGCATGCATGTCAGCACGTTACATCATTGTTGTGTCTGAGCAAACGACATGGAATATCTCCGCGCCGTTTTGTATACAGAGCATCGCACCATGTGTGCTCCATCTGGTTAGGTTAGTAGCTTCCACCTTGACGTTCAACGTCCAAAGCTATTTAGCTAGAACAAGTTCTAATGCAACATGGGTAAGCATAACAGTTACCTAAACACTCATTAAAAAATAAGCTCTTTAAAAGGGTTATCCATAAAATTGCGCCACAAGATGTGTTTGAAAATTTCTGCTGTCAGGTAAAGGTGTTAAGTAAACAATCAAAACTGTTAAGTCAACTGAGCAAATGGTAGGATCTTAGATATTGGCTACAAGGACCTAAGTACCTATGTTCCTTATTCCATGAGCTGCCGAATACTGAGTAACCTGCCTTGTCAAAGGGCAGACGGACTGCGAACTGTGTAAGCTGCCGGGGGCTATCAAGTGGTGATCAAGATCCTGTGCGTGGCGTCCTCAGCGCGGCCTCAGAACGCGACCCACTGAGGCACTCTCCAAATAGCGCAGTCTAGAGGTCGTTGAGCTGGAAGTCGATGGGTCTGTCCGGCATGTTGATCAGCTTCATCACCTTGCCGAACTCTGGCGTGGACGTGGTGATGCGGAACTGTCTGAGCAGCTGGGCGGCGGCCACCCAGCTCTCCAGCTCGGCGAACCGGCGGCCCACGCACATCCGCGGTCCGTGGCCGAACGGCAGGTAGGCGTACTGGGCCACCTTCTGGTACTGGGGCGAGGAGCGCAGCCAGCGCTCCGGCAGGAACCGCTCCGGCTCGGGAAACAGGTGCGGGTCGAGCGCCATCAGCATGCTGAGGGGCACGCAGCGCACGCCGGCCGGCACCGTGTACCCGGAGAGCACCAGCTCCTTGGAGAGCACGCGGCCCACGCCGGCCGTCACGTGGTGGATCCGCAGAGCCTCCTTCAGACAGGCCTTCAGGTAGGAGAGCTGCGGAATGGTGTCAGCCGTCGGCTGGTCGCCTGCGCTGGGCAGGGCGGCGAGCACCTCCTGTCGGGCGCGCTCCTGGCACTCGGGGTGCACGGCCAGGCAGTGGATCAGGTAGGTGAGCGTCGTGGACGTGGTGTCGATTGAGGAGAGCAGCAGGTCGCCGATGATGTCCGTCACCATCATCAGCTTGCGGTCCGAGGTGACCTGGTCGGCCACCATGGCCACCATGGAGCCAGCTATGGGCTCGGCCAGCGCGCGTCGCACGTACTGACTGCACGTGTCCCAGACCACGTCTGTGGAGCGCGCCATGCGCCGGTACAGCGGCGTCGGGAACAGCCGCCACAGCGGCACCGCCTGATTCAGCTCGGTGAAACACTCGAACAGCTCCATGGTGCCGTTGAAGAGACGCGCCGCCTCGGCATCCCGCTCGTAGATGCCAATCGGGGCGCCTAGCGCCATCGTGTTCATACTCTCGAAGGCCCACAGCTTGGCCGACTCCTGGAAGTTGGAGACGGTGTAGGGCGGCGCCTGCTCGGTCGACTGGGGGCCACCGCGCACCGAGCGCAGATGTCGGATGAACATGTCGGCAGCGTCTGTGATCTTGTCGACGTAGCGTAGCGCCGACTGCGGGCCGCCGAGCACCGTTTGGCCCAGCTCCCGGTACTCCTTCCATTGCTCACCCTCGGCTGCAGCGATTCCGACACCCAGGCCGCGCGAGGTGCGGTACGCCGCGAACGCCTCAAAGTCCTGCCGCTTGGGGATCGGTCCGTCGGCGAGAAACACTTCCTTGACGTCCTCGGGACGTGCCAGGAACAGCATAGGCCGCTGCCAGGGCAGCTCGATCTTCCAGATGGGTCCGTACTCCTGTCGGCAGAGCTCCAGCTGCTGGATCGCCGGCATCTTGAAGTAGCGTCCTCCGGGCAGCATGTGCGGCAGGTTGCGCAGCAGCGGCACCACCGAGGGGCCGGGCACGGCCGAGAAGGGCAGCGCGGCCGACGCCGCCGCCGTCGCCGCCGAGCTGGCGGCTGTGGATCGGCAGAGGTGCAGCGGCGGCGGCCGGTGCCGCGGCAGGCGGCTGAGAATCGGCACTCCGCCGGCGGCCGCGGACTGGAGGCCGGTCAGCAGTCTGTGCCGTGCCATGGCGAACGGGGTTAGTGGGTTCCCGAGCTGCTCCTGATGGGCCCTCAGCGGCGACTGGAGGGCTGGGAGATGCGGCCCTAGATGGCGAGCTGCGGCTCAACCAGCCAGACGCTCAGTCAGCCACCGACTACTGACGCCCGGCAACGCCCTGTCGCTGATTATTGAGCGATGCCGACCGTGCCGGCACTTGTGAATCTCGGCGCACGCTGCGTGAACAGCCGTGCGTCCTGACTGAACTGTTCCGTTGGGAGTTACGCTGGGCTGACGGGACGCCGGCGCACGGGCCGCTCCTCTCCGTACAGATCAGCTGCCGTGCCGCACTCCAAGGTCAGCGCTGAAGGTCGGCCGCCGTCGCCGCTGCGACTGGTCCGACAAATCTCACACCTCTGTCCTCCCGGGTAACAGCGATAAAAAACCTCGCTCACACTTACTATCGCCACCGCGCTGTCGCAGCTCTCCCCACACTGCCGGCTCTGCTCGCACTGGCTCCGAGCCTGCCCGCCCGCCTGCGGACTGGTGTAGCGCGGTGCACGGCTCGGCCTCCTGTCCGGTCCGGTTCGCAGTGATTTGCGGCGCTCTGCGCTCGGCCACCGACCCGCGGCAGACCCCGCACCGGCCTACCGACCCGCGGCAGACCCAGTCGCTGACTGCGCCAGCCGGAGAGCGGAGACGGGTACTGCTCCACGGCGGCCCCCGCCGGCCAGGGGCGGCGCCAGCAGACGGGCCAGGGGTGGGGCCCGGGGGTGAATCAGGGTCCGGGAGGTGGGGCAGGGTGCACTGCACGTTACGGGCCAGCAGGTGTCCGAAAGATATCTGATTGGGGATGGAAGGTAATGGAAAGGTGTTTGCTAGAGTCCAAAGGCGTCAACTGCAATTGATAAGTACTTGAGAGATAGTTGTTTTGGTCAGGATAGGCCTTGATATGTAATATGCATATGCCGATATGATTTGCAGAAATGCTAACCGACGTCGCTGACAGTTCACACCATTATTTTACTTAACAAAACCTGACCACAAGCTATATTGGCGGTAAAAAGAAATAATAACACTGATGATAGGACACATGGCACTTATTATGAAAACGCCTCGTCATCATCGTCATTCGGGCTCAAACTGGACAAGAGTCCAGCCAAGGGGTCAGCCATGGGAGGCTAGGACTCATGATGGAATAAAAAAGAAATGTGACGCGCAAGGGCGGGATGCAGTAAAGTGGGTCAGGTGCCTGAATTAAACACATGTGAAGAAACATACACAGGTCTTAGATCGGATGCACTCGATCAGCATATTCTCAGCTGTCGCCACCTTCCCAGGGAGACCAGCAGTGACATGGCTGCCCGGGGTCGCGCCCCTCAGTGCGCCACTTACGGATCTGCCGCGGGCAATACGACCAAATGTAGACCGGGCACGCCCATTGTACTGACGAAGTAAAATCGGTGGCTGTTAAAAATTCTGGCTGGATATGCGGGCGGAGCCATGAATGAAGCAGAATATGCAGAAGAAATAACCTGGGACAAATACATTGGGCGCCGCACCTTATACGTTCGCTAATCGATCATTCAAAAATATGTGTTTTTGAATAACTAGCCAATTACATTCGTACTTCTTCGATGATTGAATCCGGCACTTCGCATCTTTTTTTTAGCTTGCTTTACAGTTGTGCGAATCTTTTAGTTGATGGACAAAGTAAAGTATGAACGATGAACGATTATAATTTTCGAATGTGAACTTCTGCTGGATTCAACTGGAGCAGCAGAGAGCTGTCTAATCGGAACTAACGAACCAAATCACGAGCTCAGGGGACAGTGTTTGGCTCAATTTCAGGTCTCGCCTGATTGATAGGGTGCTGGAGGCTTAGGTTAGGCAAGACAGTTTCTCGTATAAGATGTCGAGCTCAGCAAGGATTACCTTTTATAGGTATTCCAGAAAATAACGAATTGGGCTCGATGTTAAACTATAACCAAGGGTACTTTCATGGACTTTAATATTTTCTATTGGTGCATGATAGTGCCGTTTAACTTTTCAAGTTATTTTATGCTCCTTATTATGGAAATATGTCTGCATTCCAACGGATTAGATTGTAACGAGGTCAGGGATGAGTTGCGGCCAGCAAGGTCATGGAATGGTCAACGAGACCGTCCCAAATCGGTTTGCCTTGCCACTGGATTATATATGTGAGCTGATGTTTTTAGTGGTTTGGCGAAGGTGCAAAGATCGCCACAAATGACAAAAGTAATAATGTCTAGCATATTTTTTTACGTTGTCTATATAGGCCTCATTTGTTGCTTTTGTATGTTTATTTCGAGCCTTTTAAATAGAATGATTCACTAGGACTAACCCCCACCTAGCAGAAATTGTCGTGCTGGCCCTGCCCTCTTCCCTCCGATCGCGTAATTCCTGGTCTATGGCAGAATTTATAGTTCGAAGCTCGAAGTTTAACGTACGCACATGGTCGCATACCGCCGGTCCCCTCACTGACTTATGCTGGCTATAAGTATAAGCCGATGCTGGAATGTATAGGTATTGTTAATCAAGACTTTATGAAACATTGAGAGACACACATTTTAAGCTCTTGCAGTTTCGTTTAAAGGAAGGTCAAGGTCATGACATCGATCATCCATACACAACTTCTCGGTATGACGGCTTGGCTACACATTGCACAAGTCATAAACTTTCTAATTTCTTTTGTCTTCCAGAACCCTCATGAAATAATGGTGGCAAGTTCAAATGCTGTAGCGCGGCTGGGTGCTCCAGCAGGACACCTTATCCTCATTAGGTGATGGCGCCGGCCGGCGTGCATTCCAGTTCGTGCGGCACGCGACAGCGGAGTAATCCGCTACCCGGTGCCGACTGGTCCATTACTCGCAGCGGGCCCGGGCCGGAAGGAGTCGCCCGCCGCGGCTCAGTCGGCCCCCTGTGTAGGAGACCTTGACCGGACCAGTGAGTGATGTCGGCTGTCACGCGCTGTCACCCCCCCCCCCCGTCTGTCCTGTCAGATCAGCCTCAGCCACACCTCACAGGAACTTCGCTCCAATGCTCTCACCCCTTTCTCGGCACCCCGCCTCATAACCCCAAGACAGCGACTTATGTAGACGCGGAGGCTTTCCGCTCAATGACCGCCAAGTATCTACAGTTGAGGTCCTGTTTCCGGGCTATCATTTCCAAAGTAGTGCGACGTATTCGTTGAGTAAGTGCCGCATTGGTGCTGAATGTCGAATTTCAAAGTCGTTCGGTGCATCCGCTATGCCCAGCTCCGCGGCCTGTGAGTGGAGAGGCCGACCTCTGAAGAGAGATCCGACCTCTGAACGCTGGTATACGAGTAATTCCGACCATTGTGACATTGTGACATCCTTTACCGCCTTTACGTGGCTCCTTCTGCCCCACCCCGCACCCTTCCCCACCGTCTCGTGCGCGGGGCGTCACGTCACGCCATGCCGTCACGCCGGCGGCCCGGGGGCGACCCCCGCCAGCGGGTGGCGTCACGACACCGACTCATATCACTAATACGGTGCACGTCGCGGCGCTGGTGCCGCTGCAGGGAGTCGTGACCCGGCCGCCCGCAGTCAGTGGAGTGTCGCGTCCGATGGGCGACGGGTCTGAACTGACGGTCCCGAGTGGTGGTGACGTGACGGGTGTGACACGGTCGGATATCTGTCGTGTCTGTGACGGTCGGACTCAGTGTGACGATAGGATCCACTGCTGCGTCTGTTACGGTCATGTCCCTGTCACGTCTTTATGTGATAAGGTTCGCTGTAATGGCCAGGCCACTGTTGCGACTATCAAATCCAGTGTGACGAAACCAGCCGACTGTGACGGCGCCCTCCCCTGCTCTGGTTTTACGCAATCCTCCCTGATGGCGCACCAGTTCGGGCCGACGCACTTCACCTCCTGTACCAATCTCCTGCGAACAACTCTCATCACGACCTGCGTGTCAAATCGGCCCGCTCCTCTCCGACGCGCAGTGAGAGGAGCGGTGACCCGACACTGGTAGCTGACCCTGCTGACTGGGCGCCGCTGACCCACCCGTGCCCCGGCCACTCCCATCTCCAGAACCTCCCGAAGGCATTCGGGCGCTCATGTTCCTGGCCGCACCCACTTATCGCGCACCGCTCCGTCGGTATCGGATGGACGCTGCGCCGCGGCCGGGCCCATTGTTCGGAATTGCACTGCTGACCAGGGTGCTGTTCGAGCAGCCGCCGACCACTGCCGACACGCCCCGTCATTACTCCAGGCATTGCGTAGGTCCTCGAACCTTCTCCGGTGTTCCTTTCACCTTGCCTCACCTAGCCAATGAAAAATGATAGGAAATTTGTCGGAACTTTGTCTTAATCATTCTTCAGCCTTCGCAAAGCAAAACATCCTCTAGGCGTCTTCTGACATAGATAGCATGATTCATGCTAGGTGTCTATGCTTTGAGTTTGGCTTTCCCGGCTAAAGCGTGCTTTGCCTACTGCTTATTTTGGCAACATCTGACGGGTGTGATTTTGTAAGCACCTACCTGTTCATGCTTTCAAAACTGAATCACGTTCACTATATTTTATATGCTGGGCTAGGTGCTAAGGCTGTTGCAATTGCTTTGGACAGACGTTGTAGTTGCAAAGATTAGCTCTATGTAATCTAACGTCCGTTATCTATCTAGTCCTATAGGCGACTGCGGTGGAATGACGACTGACGAGGCGCTAGCACCCGTGTTAAGGAAGTTGCAAGCGTCTGTACAATTTCAAGTGTGGCTTTTTTATTTTTGCAACCAAAATCAAATCATGATTAGTTAGTGGTAGGGTGTAATGAAGTAAAAAAGAAAAGGAAAACAAATTAGGTCTAGATTGAAGAGCGGCTATGTGGCTCTCCCCAAAGTGAAGAATGCAGTATTGAACTTTTTAAACGGTCTATGTGTGTCAATGAAAAAATGTTCACACGTACCTACGTTTCGAAATTTTGAAAACAAATCCCCCCGGTTTTTCATTGGCAGCGAGAACAAGTCACAGCGTCTGTTTTTCCTTTTTAACCCGCGCCGGGCCGGTGCTCTGAGATTCCGCGCCGGGCCGGGGGGTGTCTGAACACCCCCCCCCCTTCTAACTCGGCTCCTGGGCCACGTAGCGACACGCGGTAAGCGGCAGTCGAAAGAACGTCCAAAATAAGGACGAAAACACTTCGGTCATTTTTTTGGTCAGGTCAAAGGTCAGGTCACCAGAGGTCACCAAAGGTCAAATGTCCACATTTTCAACATTTTGGAAACTGCCAACGGCTATCTCGGGAACCGATAGAGCTACAGCGCCGCGGAAAAGCGCATTCGATAGCCCTTTTACAGACCTTTCTGAATAATGTTCTCAGATTTGACCTCAGGTCAACGGTTTAGCCTCCAGGGGGCAAAAACTCCAAAAATAGCCGTTTTTACGAAAAACGTTTTTTCGGCAATAACTTTTGACTCAAAAGAGCCATGACATTACTTTTGCCACCATCGTGTTCCTCTCGTCGAGACGCGTCGAATGAACTATAATTTGACCTTGAAAGGTCAACTTGAAAATTTGACCTCAGGTCAAGGTCATGACCTGACTGGAAAAGGTCATGTTGCATATCAGTCGATCCGCAACGTCGAGCCGAACACATCTAAGGCGTTTTCAGCGCTCTAGCACGTCTCTATCAGAAGTTATTAGCGAAAAACTGTTAGATTCTGTTCGTGACCTGAGATGACCTCGCGGACATAACGAGGGGTCACAGTTGCCATTTTCCGGTTCAGTGAGTCCATTTTACCTACATCTCGATGTTTGAGAGTGTCTAGAATAACGTTCGTGCAAAACAGACGCTTTTCAATTTTCTCCCATTGACTTATAATGGAGAGGTCGCAAAATTGACCTGACCTTAGGTCACCGATAACAAAATTCCGAGATATACATTTTATAGATAATGTTGCTCTAATCAATTGCTGAAAGTTTCAAGGCAATCGATCAATCGGTGTAGCTATGACGAGCATTCTTATTTTTTCTGAGGTGAGGTCACTTGGCGTGACCTGGTGACCTGACCTAAGGTGATCTGGGTCTGAAATTTTCACAACATGTGCGGAAAAGATGCACGAACAGGTGTGCCAAAAACGGCGGCGCTCCGCGCCGCCGTTTTTTGAGATATCTGCGAAAAACCGCAGGGGGGGTGTTCAAACACCCCCCCCCCGGCCCGGCGCGGGTTAACCCTCGCCCTGGCAGGGCCTTTTTCATAACACGGCCTGGCAGGGGGGGTCGATGCGACCCCCCTCGCGATTGGCTCCTATGGCACCTAGAAACACCAAATTTGGTAGGTAGGTGGGCCCCCTGGATTTCTCGCCCCTGTGCAAATTTGGTTGTTCTAGGTCAATATTTAGGGGGGGGGGTTGGGGGGTGTAAATGTAAAAATTTCGCTCAAAACAGGTTAAAAGTTTTTCGCTTATAACTTTTGACCTAATTAAGATAGAGCAAAAAGAAAAGCACCAGTGAACTCAGCACGTCAAGGCCCGTCGAATGATATACTTTTTGGCTTGCTTAAGTGCACTTAAAGTTTTTCTTAATTTTTAAGTAAACTTTAATTAATTAATTAAGTTCAAGTTAACCAAATTGCATCATATCGCATATCATTCGATTCGGCTGATCACCAGGAACACAATGACACCATTTTTTAGCTCTAGCGTCATTATGTGCCAAGTTATTGGCAAAAACGTCATTTGACCTCAGTTGACCTCATTTGACCTGACCCGTGGATAAGTACACCAAAAAAAGAAGCACTAAGTGACCTGCTGTTAAGTACTTTGGTTTCAAAGCACAAAAGTGATAGAACGAAGCGGATACCTCCAGTATTTTCCGAATTTAGTATTTTCCCATAGGCTTAACATTACGACGTAATGACCTCTAACTGACCTCAGGTCAGTGACCTAAAAAAAACCCGAACTATATGTTATACAACTCGTTGAACTTAGCACATCCTGAAAGTTTGAAGGAAATCAGTCGAAAACTGTGAGTTGGACAGGTGCAAAAAGAAAATTGAAATTTGACCATGACCTTGTACCGGTTTTTCTGACCTGGTGACCTGACCCAAGGTCACCCGGACCTGAAATTTTCAGGTCATATGTAAAAAGGTTGCCCCATAGGCTGTGCCAAAGTTGGCGGCGCTGCGCGCCGCCGTTTTTACGCTATCTTCGAAAAACCTTAGGGGGGGGTCGCATCGACCCCCCTGCCAGGGCGAGGGTTAATACAGCGTCTGTACACGTACGTCTTAGCTTGCGATATAAAAGGGGAAGGCCCGTAACCATCGCGCATGGACCCAGTTCGTGTTCAAAAACCGAAAAAAAGATATTTTAATTTGATATAAATGGGAAATATATATTTTCATTTGCCCATTTAAAACTCTAAACCGATAAGCATGTTCCCGGTTCCGGTGTTCAGCAATCCGCTCTACCATTTCGGGACAGATACATGTATTGTATTTTGTATTTCCTGCTAGACTTAAAAGACTTATTGATAACGATGGGATTGATTACCATGGGACTGATCACGCTGGGACTGATCACGTTGGGACTGATCACGTTGGGACCGACCACAGCAGACCAGTTGCGATGCAGCTGGATGACTGACAAAATTGGTGTGCGGACTGATCAATGACGGAGGGATAGGATGCAGCGGAAGCTTTAGACCAGAGGAGGTAGGACTCACTTTGGGACTCACTGTGACAGACCAGTGACAGTCGCACTGACCGTAACAGAACACAGTTAAACCGTGGTAGACCGATGCAGTGCAGTGGAGTGACCCAGTAGTCCGATGCCAGTGAACTGATCGACGAACGTGGCAGTCCGGGTGGCAGTGGACTGATCGTGGCAGTCCGGGTGGCAGTGGACTGACCGTTGCAGCCCAGGAAAGCGTTGGACTGACAGTGGCAGTCCGAGCAGTGGTGGACTGACCGGGGCAGTCTAGAGTAGCGTTGTACTGACCGGGGCAGTGTGGCGCGGTGCGGCGAACTGACTGAGTCAGTCCGGGCAGCGGTGAACTGATCGTGGCATTCTGGCGCGGCGGTAGACTGACCGTTGCAGTCTAGATTAGCGTTGGACTGACCGGGGCAATCTGGCGCGGTGCGATGGCCGGCGTTCTCGGCTCGCTGATGCGCCATACTCGCGGTCGGCTGGATCTGAAGATGGAGCAGCGTTTGAAGCGCCTCCAGCAGCAGCGACAGCAGAAGGAGCAGCAGGAGGGCGGTCAGGAGCAGGGGGCGGAGCCGGAGCGTGACCCGACCCCGGTCAGCTGGGCGGTGCCCCCGCCCCCTGAGATCGACTGCGGAGGCACACCGCGCAGACTCGTAGGTTGGCCGCCGGGTGGCAGTGCAGCCGCCCCGCGATTTCAGCCTTAGTGAGAGGCAGACACTTCTATCGGTCCTTTATAAGCCTCATTCATGCTCGATAGACAACTGTACGCTCCAAAGCTATCCCTCGTGGTCCTATTCTTTTTGAAGCCTTCCTTTCTTGATGTGCTGAACGATGGATAGGTGTTAAATACCTACCGTAAGGGCGAAGGCTGAAATATCAGCCTATATGTATATAAAATAAGGGCGAAAGCTGGAAGCTGGCATTACAAATATCAAACGCTTTCTTAGTTCATGTGGAAGAGTTCAATTTCTAAGTTTGCGGGAAATGCAGTATGAATGAGTATACCCCCACTAGGACGGCACCTAACTATCCCTTAAATTCAACAGTCATATTTTATTACTCGAATCTTCCCTATTGATACAATATATACGAATTCCGATAGCACGAAGACACCGACTACTCATTTATTTATTAGGTAGGTATGATGAGGGGGCTATGACATACCAACCATATGTCGCGCACTCTTATTGGGATCATGCTTTCACCAAACTTCGATAACCTTCACGCCATCCTCCAATGGTGCCACATTGAAGCTTTTATTTAGATCCAGTCTGTCACACACAGGGCGGTCGGTTCTCAACTGCTGTATTCGGTCAGCCCTGCGCGCCCCCAGACAGGGCCGCAGTGGCGCCACCAGGCATCACACATGGTCGGTTGGTCAGAGGCGCGGTCAGGGCGACAGGAATGGGGAACGATCTATCGCACAGTCCATATAAGGTTTGAACATTTCGTAATCAGCGGTCTCGTCTTTTTAGCTTGACTGACCCATGGGCAATTATAGAAGACGATGTTCCTGTTCGATACCTAGCCTACGGTGGCTCAAAATAGAGATATCTTACGTCATTATCACGCTAGCAGCGCGTCGATACATTCCTATCGCCGTCGGTAGTATTCCATAAGATGAAATGTCCGATATTTTATTGATATCGTACCACTAACTACTGCTACCTTGTTATATAATTGGAGACATGCAGGCATGCAGACGCTCTGCAGTATGATGTTATTGCTCTCGCACAAACTGGTATAACGGTGAGAGCAGTGCCAATATAGGTGACTGTCCGCAAAGTTTTGCCCGGCACTTGTTCTAAAAATGCATTTTCATCTGTATCTTGTTGTTTTGGACGCATACCGTTTGTAGAAATAGACTCAATGATGCTCTGACGACTGCCTCATAAACATCAAAGCGAAAATATGCCGGCAAAATATGCAGCCAGTCGGAGTTAACTACCGTAAATTATTCTTTCGCGTGTCATGTATGTAAAATGATGAAACGAGGGACGACTTCAGAAAAAAATGAACCATTTCTGCAGAATATATTCGAGCGATATGAATTCACCAGCGACCTGAAGTAATTATCACATACGAATTAGGGCTGACTGCGTCGACAATTAACAATCTGTTTGTGTGTCTGTTTCGAGTGATTACAGTTCGCTCTTCGTGTCTGTTTCGACAGTGACACCGTCCGTTACTGTTTTGTATATCTGTTCCGACAGTGTAACCATAGGCGGCGGAACGGGGAGGGCACCGGGGCACCGTGCCCCCCTTTGATTTTGGCATTTTAACATTAGCCCTATGGGCGTTGCATGGAAAGAATGGGACCAAAAGTCGGCAGTGCCCTCCCTTAACCCGCGCCCGGCTGGGGGTCCTGGATTTCCACGCCCTGCTGGGGGGGGGGGGGTGTTTGAACACCCCCCCTTGTAACTCGGCTCCTGGGCCACGTAGCGATACGCGGAAGGCGGCGTTCGAAAGAGCGTCAAAAATAATGACGAAATCACTTCGGTCAATTTTTTGGTCAGGTCAAAGATCAGGTCACCAGAGGTCATTGAAGGCAAAATTTCGCCGATTTCCAGGTCGAATATCGAAAATTTCCAAGAAGCCAACGCATAACTCGGGAACCAATAGAGCTACAGCGCCGCGGAAAAGCGCATTCGATAGCCCTATTAACGCCCTTTCTGAGTAATTGTCTCAGATTTGACCTAACGTCAACGGTTTTGCCTGCAGGGGGCAAAAACTGCAAAAATAGCCGATTTTTTCGGAAACAGTTTTTCTGCAATAACTTTTGACCCAAGCCTTGTACGAGCTTACTTTTACCGGCATCACGTTCCTCTCGTCAAGACGCGTCGAATGAACTATAACTTGACCTTTAAAGGTCAACTTGAAAATTTGACCTCAGGTCAAGGTCATGACCTGACCGGAAAGGGTCATGTTGCATATCAGTCGATCCGTATCGTCGAGCTGAACACATCTAAGGCGTTTTCATCGCTCTAGCATGCCTCTATCAAAAGTTATTTGCGAAAAACTGTTAGATACCATTCGTGACCTAAGATGACCTCAGGGCATAAACAAGGGTCACGGACACCATTTTCGTGTTCAATGTGTCTAAACCACTTGTAATTCGGTGTTTGGGAGTGTTTATAATGTCTTTCGTCCAAAAGAGGCGCATTTCCATTTTCTCCCATTGACTTATAATGGGGAGGTCGCAAAATTGACCTGACCTTAGGTCATCGATATCAAAATTCTGAGATATACATTTTGTACATACTGTTGCTCTTAGCAATCGCTGAAAGTTTTAAAGCGATCGGTCACTCGGTGTAGCTATGACAGACATTGAAACTTTTTATGAGGTGAGGTCACTTCAAGTGACCTGGTGACCTGACCTTGAATGACCTTGGTCTGAAATTTTCACAACATGTGTAGAATTGATGTATGATAAGGTGTACCAAAAACGGCGGCGCTCCACGCCGCCGTTTTTGAGATATTCGCGAAAAACCACAAGGGGGGGTGTTCAAACACCCCCCCCCCAGCAGGGCGCGGGTTAAAGGTAGTGTGCCAGCTTTCCTGGACCGTATGGAGTTAATGGCCCAGATAAGGAGAACCGGATTTTTAGAACTTATCCATACTTTCAAAACTCATGGAAACGTCTCAAATTCTTCAAATTTTGAGTACCCCAGTGCGAAATTCGTCCCGACGGGTTGTCGGTCGTACCCCAACCACATTTCACAACACTATGAACAATAAATGCACACACTGAAATCGCTATTACCGATATGCTCATCCAATCAAGTTTCGATAAACCCGTTCATCATCATCTCCTGCGGTTTCGAACACGCCTGTTAGGTGGTGCGGCAGACCGCGCCCAAAGCCAGGGCCCCGGTAACGTGAGGTAGCCGAGTCGGGGCAGCGTGCGCTGACCCAAGCCGGGGCCGCGCGTCCTCCCGGTGTCATGTGATAGCCCGGGGCTGCCCGCGGGGATGCGGTAGACCGCGCCCAAAGCTGCGGCCCCGGCTTGGGTCAGCGCACGTTGCCCCGACTCGGCTACCTCACGTTACCGGGGCCCTGGCTTTGGGCGCGGCTCCTGCTCATACTTTGTGGTGCGGTGGTGGTGCGTCGGGCCGCGCGCTCTGACTTCGGCCAAGAAAAATGCGTCAGCTGATCATTGTCATTTCTGCCACTTGCGTGTGGTGAAATGGGGTCATAACTTAAGAGACGGCTTTTTCATATCAATTATTTTACTTAAAATCATATTTCAAACCATGAATAATGTTCGACAGCCAAATAAAAGAAACAATACCAATACAGGCTTACAATTTAAGGTTCGACATTGTGTTGTCTACGATTAGACAGCTGATAACTCATTCCCGTACGTCGTAACTCTATAATGACCTTTGCTTATTGTCACATGTGCGCCGCATTCGCGATTGTTGCCGACGCCTGTTTGCAGCTCAGCCCACTACAGTTGTTATACATATCGAAAAACCGATAAACTTTTAGGCGAAAAAGGCACTATTCCAGGCCCAATTTGATTTTCTTTGCGATATTAGGTAAAAACAGAAGCTTCTTATCCTAGGAAAAATAAAATGGGAAATCTTTCAAAGGTGGCACACTACCTTTAATTGAAGGTACTGAGTGTAACAGTCCGGTGCTGTGTCATTTCTGGCGTCCTTTCATTGTGATCCTTTACCGCTTGTCCCGTGATTACTATATCTGTTCCGACTGTTCCGACTGTGTAGCCGTCCGTTGCTGTCTTTACTATTTGTCTGTTTGGTATTTGTTTTATTTTGTTTTATTTTATTTTATTTTATTTTATTTTATTTTAATATATTTTGTTTTATTTTATTTTATTTTATTTTATTTCATATTATCTCATTTTATTTTGTTTTATTTGTTAACGAAAATCACCAACAAGGACAAGCCCCACTGAGAGAGACAGACAGTAAATGTTTGCTGTCTACCTGTTCCAGCACTCATGATCATCGTCTGCCGTCTATCTGTACCGACCGTATTACAGTCGGTTTATGCTTCTCTGACCCGACAGGCGCGCTCCAAGACCGGCTCCATTGAGCCCGTCGGCAAGGGCTCCACCTCCAAGGCGCCCGTGCAGAAGGGCTCGCAGAAGGGCAACGGCAAGGGTGTCCAGAAGGGCAAGAAGGGTAAGAAGGGCCGCCACCAACAGTACGATCTGATCGTCACCATCGACCTGGTCGAGTACGGCCTTACCGAGGAGCTGGTGGCAGGTGAGGACTGAGCCTGCCGACATTACACGCTGGATCACAGATTATGAGCAGTGTCCCAGTGACCAACAGCGGCAGACAACTGCTGTTTGAGGTCGCCCAAACGTCTGATCTGTATACTGCTGTCTGTCTCGATGTTGCCTGCATAAAAAACCTTGCATGTTTTATAGCAAACTGGACTAAATTCGTTTTAGAAGGCCTGCTGCATCTGCTTTTTACGAAGCAAAAGTAACAATGTATTCAAATGCATTCAAATGCACTGCTTAAATAATATTGGGTTCAAATGCACACTTGATTTCTGTTACGCATGTTCTAAGCCAGGCTGAGTTCATTGTCACCTGTTTTGAAGGGAAATGTCTGCTATAATTACGAGCGAGCGAGCGCAGCGAGCGAAGCGAAGTCTTTTCAATATAACGGAAAAATCTCAGTATGAGCGGCCCGGCCCGGCCCGGCCTGTAACGCTTTTGAGAGGCTTATATCTCAGCAACCGCTGGACCGATTGGCCTGCGGTCTTTTTTGCTGGGTAGCCCCATCCCTTCTACCCCGTAATTGACTACTTTTGATACACCTCGGTGACCGTCGTGGCACGTGCCACGTGAAAAGTCAAGGGTGTTCAAGCAGTTTTGCAAAAGTAATGATTTTGAGAGGCCCATATCTCAGCAGCGGCTTGAGCGATTGTCTTGCGGTCATTTTTATAGGGTAGCTGCATCCCTTCTTCCAAAGGTCGGATACTTTTGATATATGTGAGTGACCCCCACTGCACGTGCAAAATACAACAATACGAGGTGCCAAATTTGTTCCCATTTCAGTAACTCGGTAATTACTGGGGCGATTTCGCTGAAACTTGGCATACAGGTAGGCACCCACCAGGCAATGCATTCCCATGTGTTGCGGTTAGGGTGCTACTGCACGTGCGCACGTGCAGGGGGCGTTTCCAGATCTCGAGAACGGCTGGGCCGATTGCGCTCAAATTTGGTACACGGTTGGGGACCGATTAGTAGGGTGCCGTGCAAAAGTCATTTGGACCCGTTTGCACGTGCGCACGTGCAGAATGCCGCTTCCAGATCTCAGGAACGGCTGGGCCGATTGCGTTCAAATTTGGCACACCGCTAGCGACCGGTTAGAAGGGTGCTTTGCACAAGCCTGTTGGAAGTACCCTCTCGCCCTTCTGCACGTGCAGGGCTCACTATCTCGCTCGCTCGTTCTTCGCCCAAAAGGCGTTTTACTGGTTATACTGTCGGTTATAAATGGGCATGAATTGGGCATGCTTGAATGATGCTTCGATTTTACTTAGAGGTGGGAGCAACAACCCTATGAAAAATGTGGCTGCAGTCCTGGCACGTCCAAGAGTAGGTAGGGCATGTCTGTCTGTCTGTCCGTCTGTCCGCCTGTCCGTCTGTCCGTCTGTCCGTCCGTCCGCGTCCGTCCGTCCGTCCGTCCGTCCGTCCGTCCGATACCAAGACATCAGTATTTTCAGTAACTTCTAGCCACTAACTAATGAGACAGTTATTAAATTGGCCATTATTTTTTATATTCTTATAAAGTGAGACCAGACAACTGCGTACAGGAAAATAAGATAACCGGCTGTGTAGTTTTTGCAATCTACCTACCGTGTACATATGTTCGTACACACAAACATGATAGGAAAGCTTAGACTAGCAAGTCATTAGTCATAATCGCATCATGCTTGCGTGTTGACGAAATAAAGCAATAATTAACTTCCAAATCCATTGCCTGCTATGACACGTTGGTCATCCGTGTGTCAGGCGTTGTATTCATAATGCCGGCCACATAGGTCAGAAAGGATTTCAAAAGGTCAGCGCTGACTCGGCGCAGAGCAGACAGGGTAGGATGACAGCTCTGTATAGGAACCCGTGGGAACGGGGCGGCAGCTGACGAAACTATCAACATCTTGAGGAACTGGTGTGACAATTGACGCCTGACGACACCAAAGAACGGACTTCTGTGCAATTAGCGACCGGGGGAGCAGCGTATTCATTCCACACTGGCCGTGTGGAGTGACCCGGCAACTGGAGGCGATCAGATCAGTAGAGCGAGCGGCAGGCAGTCGGCGGCAGCAGCCAACACGCGCCGATTGGGTTGATGGCCGTCAGCTTCGGACGGACGCAGACGGCCGTCAATTGTCGCGCGCTCCGGCGTCGTTGATGAAGAGATCATTACGGGCGCCGAAAGCAGGATTGGGGGCCGACGTCTCTGAACTCTGGACGATTAGTTCCCCCGCTGCTGCCATTCCCCGGTGAGCGGAGTGTTAGACCGTCTCGAACGGAAGATCGCCAGGTCACCGCTGCCGTCACCGGTACGATAGTGACTGGAGCTGGTGCATACTCACAAATCACCTACTGAATAGAAATAAAACGACGCTGATACAAAGATAGTACAAAGAAGCAATAAAATGGTGATGTGTTCATCCATCTAGATTCTAGATCTTTTCAGTTATGCGGAAAGTTGTCCTCATTCAAGAAGTGTGATATTTAAACATTCATAGAAAGCTGCTGTAGTGACAATAACTCCAAGCTCCAATGTCACCACGTGACACCGCGCTAGAATGCTACTCTCAGCAGCACGGCTGCTCAGCAACCCTCGGTAACTGATCGCTCGGCGCGGCGGCGGCACGGGCGGTCGGCGCGTCAGCCGACCGTGCCTTACCGGCACTGACGTCAGACTCACAGACACACCGTACAACGCTCCCAGCAACCGGGCCCGCACCCGGAGATGCATCGTACGCTCGGCTGGTGACGCCTGAGTGCCGAGTTCCAGGTGGTGACAAAGTCACTGCTTCCCTGATAGATAAGGGGTGAAAGGTTGTAGAGTGGCTTTTTATAGAATGATCTTCGGCGCTCACTTTCGTTTTGCTATTCGATTTAGGTGCCTTTTTTTACGTCAATGCAGGCATTTATCATCAATATTTTGATATGTGAAAATGCATTGGTGATTTAGCATAATTTGTATATTTAGAGGTATATCGAAGGTATATCGACGTAGATCTGTAGCATGCGTTCCAAAATGAGTAGCCTGCATGTAAACATTCTGCTCGGTTTTCTTCAGTATATGAGTGAACGCCGGCAAGAATTATCCATTATCGCGATGGCTAATTCATGCTGTTTGGCTGTTCCGTTGCCTCAGCACTGTAACAATATCGATCAAACAAGAGTGCAAAATATCTTACAGCTCATACGGGAACATAAAATGCATTGTGATGGCACGTTCTGCGTTTGCGTCGCTTATTGTCCGGTTATTGCCTTTTCCTATACCGGCAGTACGCCCGGCTAACGCCGTTCATTGGTACTAGAGCAACACCTGCTGACGGCTCGGCTTCGACCGAATAGTCAGCCGTCAAGAGCCGTTTGAACAGTGTTGTCCGTCCAACACGGCCTCAGTTTCATCATTGAAGTGTGGGAGTTACGGAAGCATCGTTATTGGATAGGTCAGACATATGCAAATTGACCCGCCGCTCTACAATTTCCTTCTCTTCCGTCATGCATGGAGCATCATCCTCTACCGTGACCTACATATTACCGCTCTGTTATTTCCTACGAGTATCTGCACGATGCACATACTCTTTCTCCGGACATGAAGGCACTTCCCTCTGCCCTATATAACTGAAGCGCAGGAGTAAAGGACCGTCCTCCGCCATTCTTTCTCACGTGCCCGTTTGCGTCACCTGTCCGTGCCCTGTCCGTTGAGGTCGCCGCGACCTGTACGTCACGGCGCAGTCAATTAGTGAGTGGTGTGCAGCCGGCAGCTGTGTCACTGTCGCAGGCCGGCCTGAAACGCTGAGTGCAGCCGGGCTGGACAGGATGGGTTGGTGTCGGCCCGGAGTCGCTACACGAGGGGCGGGCGGAGGATGGCTTGTTCCAAATGGAATGAGGCGCTCCTAGAGCTCTTACTTGGATGACTCTATCCTTAATGGAAAAGGTGCACTTAGACATAAGAGCTTATGCTTGAATCGATTTCATCTTTGTGGCCATTTATACAACGTATGCTTCGCCAAATGCACATGAGGTTGATAGAGTAACATTTCTTATTTACTAGTGGTATACGTTTACGTACCGATGACTTTCATTGGAATAATTTGTGATCCGTTCCTCTTTTGGGTTAAATTGCAGGCTGAAACAGCAGCTACATATTAGCCGTTTTCACGACGGCCATCTGGTACACATTTGGTGCACATCTGGTCAAATCAGGTTCAGTGTGTCTCTTAGCAGCTATCAGCTAGGGTTGCACTAATTGCTTATATGCCTGCTTTGTCATATTATCAGAGAGCATCATCGATTAAAACACTGAAATAAATTCATAAAATGAAGATATTTGCTGTAAAAGAAATTAGGTGCAGATTTGGTCAAATCAGGTGCATTCGCCGGATAGCCCGTCGTGAAAACGGCTACTATTTACCTATAAAAAACCAACCATGTTTGGTCGAGTCTCCGTCTTAGGCCATTTTGAAATTCATTTTCGACCTATGTTTTTCACCACTACTCATATATAGTTACTACCATTAGCTCATTTGTCCAACTATCTTAGTGACTTGATTCGGTATCCGGTCCCTCGTCCCCTGAAGTCGATTTATGTCGGTATAGCTCCCGTAGAGCCTTTGATGTCGTCCATCCGCTCAAAGATCAATATCAGCGTGCTTGCTGTGCTGCTTACATTTGATCAAATCATTCCTATATTATTGGTAAACATCATCGGAAATCGGAATATAACTAAGTTTGACATAGACCAGGTCAATCGTTAACGTTTGAATCGTTAGTTAACAAAATTTCCCTGCATATGGATTGCGGCATGCGGCAATCGTCAACCTCATTTTGAATCTGCGTAATGCCGTTAGCCGGTTTCAGCCGGGGTCTTTTCATTGGTCAAGCTGGTCTACAGTGCCTTCTGCCTGGACCGTCTGGATAGGCGTTAGTGTGGGTGCTACCCAGATAAAGGTACGCGTTTCCATATTCAGGCGAGGAACAGATTGGCGAAACCGTAAACAGAATGCCTAAATATGAAGCAATGCTCGTATAAATCGAGCTTCCATATGGAATTAAGAATTTGTTGAATAGGAATAGTTAAAAGCTTACCTGGAACTCCACTAAAGTAATACAACATTGGAAACAAATAACCTTTAATGAAAACAAAATAAGTATTTGATTGTGGTCGCTCCTGCCGCTCGGCGGTAGGTGGCCTACGTCCCCTCGTCTGACTTCTGTAACCTACCCCTGGACGTTTCCTCAGAGTTCAAGGAGGTGTTTATGCTGTTCGACTCATGACTTTTCGGCGCCATTACGTCTCTCGTTTTTTTACTTCTGTTACCTCTTGGTCTTCCCGCAGAGTTCAAGGAGGTGTTTATGCTGTTCGACAAGGACGAGGACGGCGTCATCCGTCTCTCTTCTGACGTCTGTATATCTCTGGGCGTTTTCGCAGAGTTCAAGGAGGTGTTTATGCTGTTTGACAAGGACGAGGACGGCGTCATCAACATGGACGAGCTCGGCATCATGATGAAGACGCTGGGACAGCGACCAACCGGTGAGCTGACCTGACAAATATCCCAGACAGGCACTGTCGCATGGACATTGGACAGCCATCGATACCGTGCACCGGGAACCCGCGAACCGGAGCCGCACATACTCCGGACGGTTGGCCGAGAGTTGATCTTTGTAGGCCCACCAAAGCTGGGGAGAAATGTAGGTTATGCTTCCGTAATTAATATGAAATTCATCTGAGCGCTCATTCCACGCTGGAATGAGTCCCTTCAAAGATCTTCCTGCTTTTTATGGAGTAATTCCAACTATCGGCCCGACATAACAAGGTCGGTCGTGGCTCGTCTGAGCACGAGTACCGCACTAATTAGAGGAGCGGTGGCGGCTGAGGGCGCACGCAGCCGTCCGCCGGCCGTCCGGGTTAGCACAGATGTCCCTACTGATCTACTGATCTACCCATATCCTGCTGTCTCCACGAGTCGGTTAACGAGTTGTTCTTGTTACTGATTAGCCTGTGCTGCAATAGTGATGGTTGTGAAATATCGATGAATGATCGTCTCCAATAGTGTTCATTGCTCGCTCCTTAGTCTAAGCCAAGGCTATACATATAAGCCGTCTAAGCGCAGTGCACAGCTGGCCATCAATAAGGGGCCGTTACAGGCTCGTTTACGTGCGCTGAAGGTGACATTCACATTCTGATCTTATGCCCATTCTGGAAAAGTTGCTGTAGCCTGTAAACGATTGACTGCATTGGATCATAAATCAATCATGCAATAAATAAAAAGGTTGCATAATAAATGACCGGCAGGGAAACACCAGCACAATGCGTTGTAAATAGTACCTACACCTGTATATCCGTCCAACTATCTCACCTCACTCGTTACCAGTACATTTGTTCTGATCAGCCGCGCTTTTGCAGAGACCGAGCTGGAAAAGATGGTATCAACGGTCGATCAAGAGGGCACGGGGCAGATAGAATTTAACGAGTTTCTACAAATGATGGCTCGAAAGATGGCGGGCGTAGAAACAGAAGAGGAGCTAAAGGAGGCCTTCAGGTAATTGTCCACGTATAGTCATGACTGTAATAGTCATTCTTCCTAAGCATTTAACAGGTGAACATCGCGCCTGTTTGTTGTTGGGCGTGAACGTTCTTGTGATAGACTACAAACTTATCGTTCACCCACTGCATTGTCTCCATTTCATTTCATACACGTCGCTTACGATATTGGAAGAATGAAATAAAAAGGAAATTAAATGCTAAGGAATGAATTATACCAGCCCGAGGTCACGTTGCATTCTGCAGCCTGCAGTGCCTCTCTCTCCCGGCCCGATACTTCCTTCTCTCTGACGGCACCGCTCTCCCCACGCTGACACTGCCCGAGCCTTTCCCGCAGGGTTTTCGACAAGGACGAGGACGGCTTCTTGTCCGTGGCAGAGCTGCGACACATTATGACGTCGATGGGCGACAAAATGACTAACGAAGAGGTCGACGACATGGTTCGAGAGGCGGACCGGGACGGCAAGGGCAAAATCAATTACGACGGTAAGATTTAGCCGAGAGAAATGTTCCCTGAATAGTGTCATGCAAATTGCGTGCCTTTCATAACCAGGATGGCTAAGCCTTTGTGCTGGCATACATGAAATAAGTGCGAAATTAATATCTTAGGAAATATTTAATGCATAAAGGTTTCACCGTAGGATAAGTTTCACGCCTTTGTCTGTTAGAGGTCTAAGCTCTTCCATAATCTCACGGGGCGTCGAATCGTCTAACTATCATTCGTGTCAGGCCTGGCTGAAACATGGCGGATGGCCGTAGGTACTGAATAAGGACTGGGTAATGTGCACACGTGTGCCCCTCGGTCAGGTTGCCGTCAAACTGTGACTCTGACCCCCTCCCGCAGCGTTCGTTCGCGCACTTCTGAACCACGGCTCGCCGAGTCACTAGAGCGTCCGACGGCCAGCGGGGAGCGCCGCACAGCTGTCCCAGCTCAGCCCCAGCGCTGTCCCAGCTCAGCTCCAGCGCTTTCCCTCAGACCGCAATCTTGCCACCCACCGAGCGGAGCTGCTGCACCTCGCCTGTTGCGCCGACACAACCCGTGGCGACCCTCGCCGTACACCCGACCGACGCGGATGGCTGGGGGCGACCGATGTCCGTCTGTGGTGGACGGCGCGTCGCTCGCGGCGGAGTCGATAGTACGTCCGAGTCGGGGGATTCCCCGGTGGAGGTGGTCAGACAGTCTCTCGGGCTGGGAGAGCTTGTGACGACTGGTCAGTCGGTCCGACCTCTGCGGTCCGCTGTGGACCGACGGCCGGTGGCCGTGCCTCTGTAATGTTACCGCCGCTGTGAGGGCGGCAGCCGCCGTGCCCATCGGGTGGTTTGTGTGTTTGTGTGGGCGGGTGTAGGCGCCTGCCGTGACCGGAGACCCGAGTTGGTGCCAGTTGCTGGGGCAGCTCGCCGGAACAGGGTTACGGTAGGGCGGAGAGGCTCGTAATGCTTCTGCACGGGCAGCACCTCGCTCGTGATATGATCCCGTCTGTCCGCTTGTAGGAACTTCCCTACAGGGATGAGATACCTAAGCAGTCGGTAATCCCACAGTTCAAACTGATCGTAACAACATAACTAACTTTTCTCGCACATTTACGTTGATCTTAAAATCAAGACGAGTAGTTTTGACCAGCTTTCATGCGAGCAGTATTAGCATATTACGCAATAGTGGCCACCAGGGTTTCTCGGCCTGTGTGGATCCGGGTCCGACCAGCTGGAGGGCTGAACTTGTCTGCCGGCTGTCCGCGCTGCAGCCTGTGGCCCCGAGCGCCGTCCTGCGGGCAGCCGAGCGCGGCAAACTTTGACCCGCTATTTATTGAGAGGGCGGCTGCTATCTGAAGTCGGCGGCGAGTTAGTGCAAATTAAGGCCGCGAGTTACGCCGCTGCCGCTACCGCCCGCTGTCGTCTGGCCTGGTGTGGCCGGACCATCTGGTGCGGTCCCTGGTCCCTGGTCCACTGTCACCGGTCCCGGTCGGTCCCGACCTCACGGTCTGGTGCTCGGAGTCTCGGTCTCCGGCTGAGGACAGGTGAGGTAAGGTCTGAGGTCAGCGATTAGTATCCATCTAGGGTCATGAGGTCAGTCAGGTCGGTCTGAGACTGAGGTCAGTATAGATCTGAGCTGTGTATTTGAGGCCACACAGAGGGACACAGTTGGTGCGTCGGTCTCGGACCTGTCCCCAAACCCCGACTCTGCCCACCGGTCCTGATCGGCGGCTGGCATGTGCGGCTCGCTGTCGTCGGCACCACCGAGCTGCAGGTCGCGTGCCGGCCGCCCGTGTCTGTGTGCGTGTGTGTTTGTGTGTGTGTACATACATACAAACGGCGGCTTTGCCTGCCCTTTGTGTGTGCGCACAGGACAGGGTTTGCCTGGCCAGCCGCCTCCGCCTGCTCTGAGCGCGCATCAGAGCCGCCAACTCACTGCGTTTACTGCAGTGCCCGCAACGGCGCACCGCGACTTATGTAGTGCACATTGCATTGTGGGACTTTGGTCCCTGGGGCGGGGTCCAGTGGGCGGGACCTAGAGCTGGCGATTGGTCCCTGGGGCGTTTCGGGATCCAGTGGACGGGACCTAGAGCTGGCGACTGGTCTCTGGGGCAGGATCCAGTGGACGGGACCGCCGTTGAGACGTCCCAGTGGTCGTGGTCCACTGTAGATGGCCGCTCCCGCTGGGCGGGGCGGGACCACCCAGCTGCTCTGCCCGTGTGCGACATAGGCAGCAGTTATAGGTGTATGGGGACAGATCACTGAGCCACTTCGGTGTGCCTGCTATAAGATCAGCCGGTTTGTACATATTCGTGTCGCGTTGCAATATGCTGTACTTCTGTGTACCGTTGTCTGTACAATGTCACAGGTGCCGCGAAGCTGGAAAATTGCATTTTTTAATGCAAACGTAATAGGAAGCTTTGCTGTTTGTGGTGAGGCTGCCGCGAAGCCACGGAGTTGATAAAACTTCTCCCAAAAAGCAGTCGGCGCTGACGATTGCATGAGGAGGGCGCAGGCAGCCACATAAGGATTCTGGGCTTATTTTCGGAAAATCTAAAACGCCAACGCAGCAACTTCTGCGTAGCCCCGTGTTCAGACACTTACCAGGCTATTTTTTGCATTTACTCAGAATCACTCCAGCTGTGATGCTTATTGTTGAATAGACATTAATTTAAGGCGAATATGCGCGCTTCTTACGGGGATAGCGATACTGATGAGTAATAGACATACGGGACAGGGCCCTTGGCGGGGACCAGGCCATGCTATGGGGAGGGCAGGTCCCGAACCAGTAGCAAACCGAAGGATCTCACATGTCGAAGTTCTGCACGTTTCTATCTCGCTCTCGCTCTCCCTCTATCTTTGTCTGTCTCTGTTTCTGTCTCTGTCTCTCTATGTTTCCGTTTCTATCTCGCCTGTCTGTCTGTCTCTCCCTCCCCTCCCCTCCCTCCCTCTCTCTCTCTCCTTTCACTCTCCCTCTCCGAGTCATTCTCCATCCCTCCCTCTTGCTCTCTCTCATTTCCTTTCCTCCTCTTGGAAACTCTTTCTCTCGACTCACTCCGTATTTCCCCAACTGTATACCGGTTTCCCTGTCGGTCATTGTCGGTCATTTCCACCCGATCTCAGTCATTCTACACTTCTACAGGTACGATGACTGATCGCCAATCCACCAGTCCGGCGCTTGCCACTGCAGATAGTCAGTCTTTCCACAGGGGTGGACGCGGTGGACGGGGTGGACGGCGCAGCTCCGCCGTCCGTCCGCCAGAGAAACGGAACAGTCCAGGGGTTCGACATTGTCAGCCGTAAGAGAAACGGGAGGGGTGGCTGTTGTATAGGGTGGCGCTATCGAAGGTGTTGATGTTTGTGTCAATGTTTGTCGGCTGTTTGCAAAGCGCAATATACTGAGATAAGCTCTCCGTTCTTTGTCGGTTATTGTGTTATGTGTTAGAGGCCAGGAGGTGAGTTTCCGGAAACGAGAGGATAGGCGCCTTCCCAAAATACTACCTGCATCGTAGGCTTAGGTGATGCATGCACAACACCTACCTAGCCGATAGGAAAATGTGTACCACAGACTACCGTAACACAGAAGTCTACGGGTGTACCTATGACAGACGGTGGTGCATCCAGTGCCCATTTGCCCAACGCCCGGTGGCAGGAGATTCACTCCGCGTATCCGCTGAGACGATTGACGCGGTGTCGCGCTGTCATCTGTACCGTCCGCCCGCCCGCCGTGGCCGCGCTAATACGGCCCCAGCAGGCCGACTGGCCAGGGAGCTCGTTTGGCCGTCCGGCGGCGACCGAGCGGCACTAAGGAGCGCCCCCGGATGGCCATCTCGACTCTTTACGACGCGCCGTTTGGCGGCCCGGCGGCGACTGGAGGGCGGCCAGGCCACCGCCGGACATACACGCCCATCAGCAGCGGCGCCGGAAGCCAGCCCAGCCGCCGCACCGGCTACAAACGTGGGCCGATTTCACGCCGCTGAATTTTGCGGCACTAGGTCAGCGCGTTGCCATGACGACGAAATGACGCCGGCGGAAAGCTGCCTTCTTCCGGGAGCCTGGCGCCGTCGCCGGCGAGATTAGCGAGCGGCCCGACCGCCAGCCGACCCGACTAATATTCGCCGGTCGAGGCGGAGCTACTGCGACGCCGGGCTGTCGGTAATTAGCACAGCTCGTCAGCCACGTCCACGAAAGCCCGAGACGGCAAAGTCCGAGTATGATAACGCCAAACCGTGGCGGGTACAGATGGATTCTCGGGGTCAGTCGTAACGAACATTCAGACACGTTCGCAGAAGGCCAAAAGAAACGTCAGCTGTAGGTTTAACGATAAAGTCCCGACAAATCACTCCACTTGCTCTCTCACTTCTCACAACAGTTTGAACGATATAATCAGTCCTCCCCGCATCAAAAGCAGTGAAAATTCACACATGTCGCTGTATTCGAAACACACTAAGAAATACAAAACATTAACCAAATGGATGAATGAATCCGTCGAATGAAGCGAGTGTAAAAAACAACTGATATCGGTAAGATCAACTCACGAGCAGCTCACGAAGATCAACTCACCTTTGTGTTAATCCTCACAGCCACATACAATACAATCAAAAAACGTCTTCAGCCACAATGGTATGGTACGGTAGTTACTGTACCACCCGTAGATTATGGTACAAATGGGGTATGACACGACTCACAACTGTACCACACTGTGTGGTACGGTTGTACCGTATCGCTCAGATACCCCGCTGCTATGCTCGTTAGGGAGGAGCCAACAGCTACCGCGGCTTGAAACACCAGGTACCGGGTTGTACACAGGTTTGTACGAGCCTGTCCATAGGACGGCGATATCCCACTAGCTCCTAGCGACATTTGGGTCCATCGTCCCATAAGCGACGGTATCGTCCCGCGTGCTGGTAGCATACAGCAGAATGTATCGGCAGTAACGCCTCGACTGTGTGGGTTCCGAACAATCAACTACCCTGACAAGGTGGCGCATGCGGCATTTGCAGATCAGTTATCTGTCTTACCGAGAGCCATGTGCTGATGAACAATGACAAAAACGACGTTCAGTTAGCAAAAAGGCAGTCTAGAGATCCAACACCGATTTTCAAAATGTAGTTACACAGTGCCAGATTAAAGTCGATTGAAGTCTTCAGCGTCAGAAGGAAACATATGCCAATGATAATTACAAATAACACTAACAATGACGTTGGCAGCTCAAATTGCCACAGCCATCAGATACCTCACACACACAGACACCACATTCATTGCACACCAGTTGGTGAGCTGTCACTCTGTAATGTCGATGAGCTATAAGCGGCAGTGAGATGTTAGCTGACCCGCATCGTTTTCATGGGCGCACGACTGTACCCGGTACCAGTTCTGACAGCCGCCTAACCGTCAGGAAGGTGGATAGGACACCGGCCAGCGCACATATCAGCAGTCACCACGACAGTTGGGACAGCACACATGATGGCAGTCACCGCGAAAGTCACCGCGGCGCGCCGGCGCGGTACTTACCCACCAGCCGCTCTATGTCTTCGACCAGCCGGCTGCCCCTGCCCTGCTCAGCCTCCAGCCGACTCCGCAGCTCCGCGTTCTCAGTGCGCAGGATGCCAATGATCGACTTGAGAGCCGCCGGGGGTTTGTTGGCCAGCTCGGTCATGTCGGGACTGGCTCCGGCGGCGGCGGCGGCGGCGGGAGAGGGCGCCGCCTCCAGGGGTCGCTGCGGAGCGTCGTCGGCGCACTCGAAGTCGTCGTAGCGTTTCGGCCGTTTGATGCCGCGGGAGGCGCGCACCTCGGCGGCGCGGGAGAGAGAGGCCGGTGCCGCCTTCTGTGTGGGCCTGGAGGCGAGGGCACGCAGTACCGTCAGCGACAGCTTCACGCCGACAGCGGCAACGGCACCGACAGTTGACAACGGACAGCGGACAGTCGCCAGTGTCAACGAATCACAGACTGGAGGCCGGCGGACACCGCAGCACGGCAGTAGGTACAACTAACTACCGACCTACCCCACACGCTCTCAGCCAGTCTAACACTGAGAGCACAGAGATAAGCCAAATAAAGAGCACAGAGATGAGCCAAATAAAGAGCAAAGAGATGAGCCAAATATAGAGCACAGAGATGAGCCCAATAAAGAGCACAGAGATGAGCTAAATAAAGAGCACAGAGATGAGCCAAATAGCAGGCAGGACAAACGAATTAATATTCACAATCACCATACACACTGGACGAACTATGGACGAATTATGTACAGGACATGACGAAAATCATCCACATATTTGCCTCTGTCGGATCATCTGTCATGGAATTTCTGTATCTGTAACTCCATAGACAATTACATAAAAAAAAACTTAACATCACACCAGCTCCACAAACCTGATCACCCTCAGATTTCCGGGGAATACTCGTACATCACACAAGATAAAAGCTGGCTGGCTTCCAGCACAGTTGTCACAAAATGATTCGACAGGTGGCCCGCGTCGGATGGCCTCCGCGCAATGAACACGTCGGATGGCCTCCGCTGTAAAGCCCCGCCACTGCACAGCGCTGACGCGAGGAGAACCTACTTGTCCAGTCGCATGTTGGGGACCGCCGTCGGCCTGAGCCGGCGGTCGCGCCGGTCGACCGACTGGGAGGGCAGGTAGTCCTCCGGTCGAAAGTGGCGAGCGCACACGGCCAGACGGTCGGTGATGCGCGTGCTCTTGGAGAGCCGGCACCGCTGCAGCCAGATGGCCGACACGGCCAGGTCCATGGGAAACCGGTGCGGGGGGCCGGCATCACCGTCCGGGCCGTCACAGCCGGCCACCGCACACGGCTGGAGACGGGTGTAAAAAGGTCAGAGGGCAGGTCTCAGAAGACAGGTCAGGAGGCAGGTCTAGTCAATAGACTGGTCAGGAGGGGCAGCTCACAGTACACCGGTCATAGGTCAGAGGGCAGGTCACAGTACAGCAGTCAGAGGGCAGGACACAGTACACCAGTCAGAGGGCAGGTCACAGTACAACAGTCTGAGGGCAGGTCACAGTACAACAGTCTGAGGGCAGGTCACAGTACAACAGTCAGAGGGCAGGACACAGTACACCGGTCACTAGTCAGAGAGCAGGACACAGTACAGCAGCCAGAGGGCAGGACACAGTACAGCAGTCAGAGGGCAGGACACAGTACACTGGTCAGAGGGCAGGTCACAGTACACCAGTCAGAGCGCAGGACACAGCCGTGCACAACAGACGACTGGTGGTGGGTACATGCAGATCACAGCCTGGTTTGTTCATTGAGCCTCAAGAGCGTGCCGGCCACTAGTAAAGTAATTGCGCCCACCACGGATCACAGGGTGTCAGCCGGATCAGGAGATAGGAACAATGGTCAAAGGTGACTGATAGCTGGGTCGCCATCAGCCGTCACAATCCAACTGAATGCGAACCGCCCACTCGAATGGAGACGAGATTAGGATATTAATCACATCTTAACTGCTGGTCACTGGAAAACACCCACACTTATCTTGAGACCAACAGTGCAAACCCCGCCCGACACCAGCGCCGTCTGTACTCTGTACCGTCTCCACCCCTGCGCTGTCCGCACTGTCCCAGCCCCGACCGCAGCGACGTCTGTAATTTATACAGACTCAACCCCTGAGCCGTAGGGACTGACCCAGATTTTATACACACCCGTCCCAGCCCCGACTCCAGTGCCGTCTACCATACCGTCCCAGCCCCTGATCAGTCTGCCCTGTCCCAGTCCCGACTCGAGCGCCGTCTACGGCACCGCCTCTACCCCCCGAGCCTCCATTCTGCCCCGGTTCCGACTCGAGCGCCGTCTACCGTACCGTCTTATCCTCGTCGCCGTCGCCAGAGAGGTCCGCGCTGGCCGCGTGCAACGCTCGCAGCTTCGTCTTGAGCTCCATCTGAGGACGTGGGTCGGCCGTCAGATAGTCAGGTGCAGACGACAGTCACGGTAGAGATAGAACGCTAGCTAGCACAATAGCTGTCGGACAATCGACACGGCTATGACACGCATCTAAACTGCAACAAACGATGGTACCATCAATGGCAAAGATTGGCAGCACTGTCGGATATACAGCATAAACGGTGGCACAGACATTGCTTAGTTAATGACAAAAAGCACTGGCACGCCCTAACACAAATTGTCGCACACCAAACGCACATGTATCGCACAATGATACGCACTGTAGTATCGCTACAGTAGCAGACTCACCGCAACAAGGGCCTGTTCTTCCTGCTTGTTAGCCCTGAGCGCGATCACGGCCGCATCCAGGGCCCACAGGTACTCGGTGAGTCGCGCCTGGGGCAGTACCAGTTCGTCCGGTACCCCGTCTGAGAACGGGGTACCTGCGGGGTGCGAGTGCCGCGCAGCACCGTTACCGCCGACCGCCACATCCGTGCCAGAGCTGGAGTCGGATGGACTGGGGCTGCTGCGAGGCGGCGAGATCTTCTCGTCTGAGAGCAGAGGGGAGCGGGGGGGTCAGGGGTGGGCGACACGGCAGTGGGTAGGGGTAGGGTAGGGGTGGCCGGGAGGGCAGTGGTGGGGGGGGGGGCAGGGGTAGCCGACAGGGGCAAAGGGGTAGACTGAGTAATATGTAGTGTATTCCCACAACCGAATGATCTCGCTGCACACATGCACAAGTATGCAAACAGATTTGAATTACGAACTGATTTTACATTGAGCTTTGCATTATCTGCAATCGACGTGTAACAAGCATTTACTTTGCTAAGGTATTTTCGGCATGTAATACCACCATCCCGGCCAGCTGTTCCTGCGGGCTCTGGTCACCGACTCAGTCGCCACTCACGTTTGACGGTGACGTCGGGGTCCGCTCTCTGTACGATCACCGTGCGCGACACGCCGCCCGGACGGCCGTTGCGCGCCGCCGCCTTCGGGCCGCCGTTCTGAACGGGAGAAGGGGTGGACTTCTGGACAGCGACACCAGCGGAGGCGGGGGCGGCGGGGGCGGGGGCGGAGTCGGAGTCGGGGGCGGGGCTGGTGTCCATGTGTCCGTCCACCGGCTGGCAGGCTAATACCACACCCTCGCCCCACGGAAACAGACTGCTCGACCTGCGAACCCACGGGGAGGGACCGATAATTATGGCAGCCTGCAGAGGCAACTCTGATTCCGTCCACAAATCTGCCAAGACAGACTTCCAACAGCCTTACAGCCCTACCGCTCATGCCTTAGAATCTGATGCAATCAAGCGGTAATTGGAATACTGATGAGTGGTTATGCTTCAAAGGCCCATGTGAATGTATATACGCCACATTTTAAAGCAATGCGTGTCACCAAACAACGTATTTCGCACGAGCATATAAAAAGAGTAGCCACCCACATTTCATCCTCAAGAATATGTAAAAAATAAGTAGATCTGCCATCCTGAAGGGGAAGTACAGGCCCGACCCGTCGCCCCACTCACGTGAACGCCTGCGCCACCGTCTCCTTACAGACGCGCCGAGACGCCTGTCGGATGCCCGCCAGCAGGCACTTGAGCGAGAGGCTGAGCTGGCCCGAGTCGCTGTTCTTGCGCCGGCCCAGGCGCGCCTCGGCCACCAGCCGGTCAAAGTTGGCTGCCAGCAGGCTGGTGACCGCCTGGCGCAGCGGGTTGCGCGCCTGACCGCTCGGCGGCAGGCCCACCATGATGATGCCCTCGTCGTCGCAGAACTGCGTTAGCGTCATGCTGCCGTGGTGGTTCAAACCGTCCACGTACAGGAGCACCGGCCGATGCACCTTGGTGGCGCTCAGGTACGGCTCCAGCGATTTCACCAGGTACTGGATGAGCGCTGTGGGAGTGACGCAGCCTGCCGAACGAGCCGACACGTGTCACATCGAGAAAATCCCAGCACGCAATAGAAATGTACGACAGTAAGGACAACCAATTCCTTTCGTATTAACTCATGATTCACCTACGAAATCATAGCTTGTTTCCATGACGAAATTTAGTTATTTTTCATTTATACCAAGAGACACATATTTATAAACTTCTAGATAAGACACAATCTAAATCTGCGAGGTACCTACCTACTGCCTACGACATCATTTAGTGAAAACATCCTTTTAATCCAGTACTTAGCATTCAGTCTACTGGGACTGAATCGTCGGGCGGGGGCTGGTCAGTCCCGCTTCCCTCCCGTCCCGTCTCCGCCCCCCCCCCCCTCTCTCCCCAGCAGGGCTGCGGAGTCGGAGTCGGAGTCGGAGTTGGAGTCGGTCGGAGTCGACAGTTCTGACCGGAGTCGGAGTCGGAGTTGATTTTGGAAACCGGAGCCGGAGTCGGAGTCGGAGTCACCGACAAATTCATCGACTCCACAGACCTGGCAGGGCTGCGGAGTCGTAAGTCGGAGTTGGAGTCGGTCGGAGTCGATAGTTCTGCCCGGAGTCGGAGTCGGAGTTGGTTTTTGGAAGCCGGAGTCGGAGTCGGAGTCGGAGTCACTGAAAATCCATCGACTCCGCAGCCCTGCTCCCCAGTCCGTCTCGTTCTATACTCCCGCGTCAGCGCGTCCCTGCGCCACTCACCCGTGGGGTCTGTGTGCCGGAAACAGGGGTCGCCCTCGGGCAGGTCATCCACCACCATCGGCGGTAGCACCATCATGGGCGGCGCCAGCTCACCACTGGCAGACAGCGCCTGCACGTAGGCCACGTTCCCATCGACGGTCTTCTCCGTGGTTTGCGAGACCTGGCGGAGCGCCACGACGCTGGCCGTGCGCCTGGCCAGGCACAGATTGACCTCCCCCAGGTATAGCACGCGCTGCGGGTCGGAGAACGGGTGGCCCACGTCGGCCGAGTGTAGTCGCTCCGACAGCACCGAGTTCACGGAGCGGTACCACTGGCGCGGCGGCCGGCCGGCACACCGCTCGGCAGCCGCCAACGCCGGCAGCAGACTGAGCGGACCGAGCTTGGCAGAGTGCCGCGAACGGAACTCGGAGACCCACTGGTCCATGGCCTGGGCACTGTCGAGAGAACCAGGGGACGGTCGTCAGTGGTGACCCGGGGAGAGCACAGAGGCGTGAGCACAGGCCGGGGGCAGGGCGTGCAGAGGGGAAAGGGACAGAATAGTGGTGCTGGATGCCTAGCTTGGATAGCAGCCCATCCCACCATGGAACCTACAAGGCAGGGATGGGAGCACGCTAGTACTGGGACTGGGACCCAGTGCGCGAACAAATGCAGAAGTAGGTAAACAGACGAAATATGAACAAAAATGTGTAATGTGTATCGTTATAAGAAATGCAGCCGTAAAGCCACGACAGCAAGTAAAGTGAAAGTCACCGAAGAGCAATAGTCGTGATCAGATATTGCATCATGCCGATCAAATGGGTATCAGTGACACACACAAACAAGGTGCATCTGACACATTTTTTTCAGCGCTATGACAAGTGGTTCCGGCACGCTCTGCCCCGATGGGCGGCCGGGACGCTCACCTCTTACTCTCGCGCTGCTCCAGCTGGACGATACGGCGCACCTCCACCAGGAACATCTCGAGCGTGATGACCAGTCCGAGTGCGGCGCAGTGGGATATCCAGGCCACCATGTCGCGCTCCTCGGCTGCTGCGAACAGCGGACGGTTCGGCTTCCCGCCGCCGCTGCTACTGCTCGCCGGGCCCGGCATGACGGAGCAGTGCGGGTAGCTCCGCACGGGCGGGTCCTCACTGGCGCTCACTCGAGAGACCAGTGTGGGTCCTCACTGGCGCTCACTCGAGAGACCAGTGTGGGTCCTCACTGGCGCTCCCTCGGGACTGGTGTGGGTTCTCAGTGCTCGCTGGTGCTCACTCAAGAGTGACCAGTGTGGGTTTTCACTAGCACTTACTCAAAGAATGAATTGAAGCTAGTGGAAAACTGCCCAGTGTTTCTTCAGAGCTGGTAATGATGTGGATGCAGGTAATAAGCCAGACTGTCACCAAGTAAATGAAAAAGTACAGAGCCAGGTCAGAAAACATTTCAATGAATAGACACTGAAACACAAACTTGTGAACACAAAGCAGCTGAGATCATGGTCAGGGTTTTTGGTGGTGTATTTGATGAGTCAGCCTTGCTGTATTTGGAGGCTGTAACATTAAAATATTTTGACTGAATTACAGTTATAAGTACCTGGTTTTGTCGAGCTGTGTTAAGGAGTAATGTACTGTGTTGTACTGTGTACTGGCAGCGCTGATCTGTTTCGCCGGCTCGCTCGTGTTGGCGCGCGAGCAGGTGAGTCAAAGTTCGGATGTGCCGGCGGCCGGCAGCGACCAAGGCCATCTGCAGCGGCCGCGGGGCAGTGGGGGTCAGGCGGAGGAGAGGATCGGGTTGGCGCGTCGTTCGGTGTACAGGTGTCGACCGCGGCAGTGGAAATACAGTTCCGGCTTACAAGTAATGACAAAAGGCTTAAGACGTCTATTAAAATTTTATATAAAAGCATGGAATGCTATGTAGCATAGCTTTACTGTAGTGATTGCAATGAAGAGCTGCAGCAAACCCAGGTCTCATCCCATTCACTAGCTAGTCGGTATGTTGTCAGTCTTGTTAGCCTATAGATAAGTTGACTGTCGACCAGGTTAGGTGGTCCTTACTGGAATTGCACAGTTTGAAATTTCTTTTAGGTGTGTTGATTTTCACTCTACACAATCAGAGCGTCTAGATTGACCTGAGCGCCCTGATTTCCATTAGTAAAGCAAAATTGTTCTGTGCTCATAACTACCATCTGAAAAGAAGAAGATAGATAAAACTTCTTCATATTTGACAAGTTTATTAGCTTCATTTGGCAGACAGGGATGGGGAAATATAATTTAGACTAGTAAGCAATCATTACAAAATAATATGGCCACAAGTAAACTAAACTTTTTACACAAGCAACCATGATTGCAACTGATAGGTAGATGAGTTTAACTCTCCTGGCAATATTACCAAGCATAAAAAGTACATGACTTAGAATACCCACCTAGTTACTAGTTAGTGATTAAACGTCAAACTATTTTAAAATCTGTACCACCTACTTCTGAATTAAGCACCCAAATTATCAACATCAACAAAACACCTACCTAGTAAACTACACAGCTTAAATCCCCTGCATTGTTTTCTGATAAAAGGTGCCAGCCGCCAGGTACTGCTGCCAAGTGACTTTGCTTTATCTTTCGTTATCTGGGTCTTAATCATCTTTACCATTATTATTGCTGGAGATGTTAGCGAATTTATACTTCATGCCAATGAAAAAAAAAACAAAGCTGTGACATCAACATGATTATTTTATCTGGGACCAAAGTGTCTGCTATAATGTTTCATTGCTTTATTTAACCATTGGCATAGAAAATACAGTTCACAGCAGCAAAATGCTCATTTTAGGCCCGAAACTGGTCTATGATCAAAATCATCCCGGGTATCATTGTCACCCCGGTTTACGGTACGTGGTCTAGAATTGCTTAAAATTGAGTTCAAGAATTTGACGTCATCAATTTTGAACAGTTTTTTCGCTATAACTTGGCCAAAAAAGGAGGTATCGATCTTAAATGTGGCATGTATATAGAAGAGCACAGGCACTATCCCACATTCCAATTTTTCCAAAATTTGAAAAAAACTTTTGCTTTTTTTGAGTTTTTTTAGATAAATAACGTTTCCAATTTTTAGGGGTCAAATCACAACATTTTGAATAACCAAGGTAACAGTTTTGAAGAGCCGACTTTTGTCTACATGACCATATAAAGAAATTTGAAATTGCTTGATAACTTGAACTGTAGCTTTTGTGAGCATTTCAAGATTTCATGTTTTTTTGCTCATTTTTGCTCGAACATGACCTCCATTTGACCTCATCTAAGGTGACCTAAACTTGAAATTTTGTGTGAAGGTGTCAAATTGATGCCCAGGAGGGTATTGAAAATTTGGGGGCACTGTGCGCCACCATTTTCTTGCTATTCAAGGAAAAACCACAGGCGGGGCCTAATTGCCGGTATATGTCAAGTTTAGGTCCTAACTACAATTGTGACGCTGTTGATACGAATATGAAACAGCAAAAATTTTAGGTTTTAGGTTAGGTTAGGTTGTAGGTTTGTAGGTTTTAGGTTGTAGGTAGGTAGGTTTGTAGGTTAGGTTAGGTTAGGGTAGGTTTGTAGGTTGTAGGTTGGTAGGTTATAGGTAAGTAGGTAAGGTTAGGTCAGGTTTGATTATGTTTTTTTCTTTTATTTGCGAGACATATGAGTATCATTTTTGGATTCAGGATGTCAAATAATGTAAAAATATGAAAAATTTATCAATGAAATCTTCTTAGGAATTAAACTTGACATTTACCTAATTGCCAAATTAAACTTGCCAAATTAAACTAATTAAACTTGACATTTACCTTCGCCCCAGCGGGGCGAAGGTTAAACTGGCCTCTGCCCCACAAAAAACTTGTAGAGCTTTGGCTTGTTGTCGTGCTTTGAAACTGGGTGGCAAGGTATATAAAAACACTCTGGGTGGCTTCAGTGCCCGCAATTAGTTGACAAAAGAAATAATATAAGACATTTGTAGCGATTTCGGAATGTGAGCCAGGGTTAGTGTACAGCCAATAGAATTTCATTTGCACCATACCTGCTCATAACTTGAACTGAACTGAAACTGAAACTCAATCTCCCAGACATTTCAATTTACAAGACACTTAACTTGTGTCGTACTTACTTGTCTAGCCCCTAGGTGTCTTAGCACTCACCTCACTGGTAAATTCCAGCAGAAAATATGAAAATCGCATCAAATTAACGTCCTTTCAAATTATACGCTTATCACAACCCACGTGAGTAACTCGCGTAAAAACCGTCCGATCGCGACGAAACTATCAATACCCCCGATTTTATCAATTTTACACCTACCCTGAAAATTTCATGACCCTGACCCAAATGACCTTTGACCTGTGACCTATTTCTCGAGACCATGTTTGGCCCGAATCGCGATTCGGCGTATGTCGGCTCGCATTAGCCGCGCGGTTGCAGTCTTCACACGTGGTTTCAAGCGTTGAAACATGTGATATGATGCTGGTCCCATGCATTAGGGTGGGTGTCAAGGTCACCTGAAGGTCAGGTCAGCTCAATGACCTTTGATGACCTCAGTTCACTTTTTCGAGTTTTACATGTTTCTAGGCTAGTTTTTGGAGCTGATTTCGAATTTAGCAACCATTCGAACATCACAGGGGGTGTAACAAAATTATCCGGACACCTTCCTTCCCGCTGTAAAAGCAAAACAATCTGGTACTTTTTCTTTTAACTGAGCTTGTAGCCACCTTTCATAAAAAACACAGTTTACTTACCTCGTATACTCACCTCGTTGGTTTCTGCATATCTTTGGAGTGGTTTCAAAGGACAGTCAGAGAGGAAATGAGGAACCCACACAGTGGCGAATGTTCTGGAGCATTTCAGCCAATGGATTCTCCAGCACACTGGCTTTGATGCGGACCAACGCCGTCTAAACCTGTGCCTGCGGTTGAACAGTGCTTATGGCGGGTGGCTCTTCATACATCTCCTGCTAAACAAGAGCCCACAGGTTTTCGATTGAATTGGGATCGCGACTTTTTCCAAGTCATAAGCGTTAGCCCAGAATGATTGAAGGTTCTATCGGCATCACTTCCCGTTCTTTTAGGGACTTTTAAGTAGCGCGCTGCCACGCATGAAGACAGCGTGGCTTGAATCAGGCATCAGTGCGCGTTCAGAAACCGTGCCCTCCTATGCCGTGTGGTTGAGCGCCTCCAATCATGCTCCACCACCTTCCTTGGAAAAGCTCCACCCTTGCCTATGGGGCAAAATATAAGGGACAAAAACACAAAACAAGACAGATAAAAACAAAGCAAAATTAACTCATTACCTAATGAAATTCAGGCTGGAGCAAAAACATAGGTAATAGGTATCTATGTCAAATTAGAATGAAAGATTAAAACCAACCTGATCAGGCCTTACGGTCTGACCGGGTCCTAACCACCTTACTTCGCCTAACTTGACCCAATTCAACCTAGCCTACCACAACACCTGCAGAGGTACCTTCCTGGAAAAATGACGCCCAGGGAGGTGACTGTCCAACTTATTGGAATACTACCATGCAGGGCTGCGGAGTCGGAGTCGGAGTCGGAGTCGGTCGGAGTCGACAGTTGTGACCGGAGTCGGAGTCAGAGTCGTAGTCGATTTTAGAAACCCGAGCCGGAGTCGGAGTAGGAGTCACCGAAAATCTGTCGACTCCGCAGCCCTGCTAGGTCTGCGGAGTCGGAGTCGGGAGTTGGAGTCGGTCGGAGTCGACAATTCTGCCCGCAGTCGGAGTCGGAGTCGGAGCTGGTTTTTGAAAGCCGGAGTCGGAGTCGGAGTCGCCGAAAATCCATCGACTCCGCAGCCCTGAGTCCATGAGTGCTTGTCAAAATGTGTGTCATCATGCTCTTGTTTGACGAGTGATGTATAATAAATAAATGTGATATATAATAATTATCTCCTGACTGTTGACTGTTGAGTGATCAAAATATTCAAATAATCAGGGTACAATCCTGTGCATAGTGCACACTAATCATGTTGTTTTTGTGTAGGCCCTCTGCACATTGTTGTGTGCACTGCTGTGTGCACCTTAAGTAAAAAAGTGACTGGTGGTACATGACAAAAGGTTGAGCAACTGTGAAGTTCATGCCCTTGGTCTTGCTGGTGCCAAATGCCTATAGCTATAGCAGGATCAGTGAGGGTTGTAGACATGCTACATACATTGTGCACTGCATTGAAGATATTGGCACAAAGTTCATCCGTAATTATACTATGCTTAACACCTAATGTAAGAAGCGACATAAATGCCCAGATGATAAAGCTCTCTGGTAACATCACACAAATTTATTGACATACTTTGCAGGTACATATTTACATTCATGGCAAATACTTTCAATTTGATTCAGAAACTAGTTGCTAGTAAGCTTGCATTTTTGTAGGTACAACAACGACCATATATTAAATCATAAAAAAACCTTCTCATGGCATTCATCACATACCTTTTAACCAAACAAGTACCTTACACCTAGCTCCCATGCAATGATTCTAAAATTTGTCCGCAATCCATCTATATCTCAACTGACACAATGAATTTCAAATACCCTAACAAAACCCATAACTTGAACTGTACAATTGTACATAAGAAGAATGCAATAGATACTACAAGAATTATGAATTTCTGAAGTTATTCTCACATGCTGGAATGTTGAAACTCTACTTTTGTCATCCATTTCCATGTTTGATTGAGCCATCATATAGAACTGTTTTCGTTCTTCAGTCACAAGCTTTCCCACAAATCTTGAAATTTTACACATCATCTTGTAAAGAAACTCAAATAATCCACAAATTGTTATTGAAACACTCCCACTCCAAAAATTCACAGCAATAACCTGTTCAAGTTCAGAAGCAAACAAACATTGCGCCACATTTCGTATGAAACGCGCCATCGTACTGAAGTTTCTACCACAGACGGTAGTTCAACCGCAGCCGTAGTGCGAAAACCCCTGCCCACCTTACCCCACGGCGGAGCTCGGTTGCATTTTGTAAATACGCCCTCGCTCCACCACTAGAATCGTGACGGCAAGCACCGACCAATGGCCGCCACTGCCGCCAGTATGGCGTCGGCCGACGAGAAGTGGGGACGGCTGCAGGCAACGGTCCACGAGCGGTTGGACACGTCCGCCAACTATGCAGACACAGTGGCGCGCGTGGTGGACACATTGTGGACGTGGGAGCAGAGGCGAGATGCCCAGGCCGCGCTGCTCGACCGTGATGCCCGCTCTCCGCTTTACAGGATCCTGTGGGATGACTACAGGATGAGCGAGCACTACGCGCAGACGGATTCTCACCGAGAGTTCATTGTTCGCTCGTTCGACCGGCTCGGCGGCTACCTGCCGGCGGTGACGCGGCGCGCAGCCGAGCACCACGACCTCTCCAAGTACGAGCTCGTGGAAGCGGTCGGCTACACGCTGCGCTGGGTACACGGACGACAGGGCGTGCACTGGCTGGAGGCGCTCGGACACCACTACGGCGTCCAGGAGCACCATCCACAGTTCTTCATCATGGGGAAAACTGGCCTGGGTCTGATGAGCACCGACGCACTGCAGGAGAGCCTAGTGGACATGGTGGCCTGCCGATGGGAGCGACAGCTGGAAGGCCGCCAGGACGTCACCAATAGCGAACTGGTGGATATCGCGCCCGGCTTTTTCGACCGGTACCAGGTGGCGGACAGGGCCGCCGTGCAAGCTCTGATCGATAAAATTGCCCGGCAAGAGTGACCTGTCCCAGTGGACGGGCGGTCGCCATGACTCGTGACACTATGACGAGGGCATTTTGACGAGAAACCGGCAGTTTTACATCGCATATAGAAAGCCGGCCGGATAGCAACGGGAATCTCCCGGTCTGTCGCGTGCAAGGCCAACTTTCACTACCGCCCGTCTCGGATTACAGTAGGAGTGCCTCCAAGTCGCGGTGCAACGGTTATATAACAGCTCTCTCCGTGTTTGTCGTGTGCTCTGACACGGTTGGCAGTGGATATAATATTTGGAGGATATATATTGTCGGGTTTCCTCTTATACCTACCCGTCGAAGCGGTGTGTGTAGGACAGTGTTCAGTGTTCCAAATTTCATAGCGGTAAACGGGATTCGTCGCAAGCCGTTCCGATCATACCTAGACTTGGTAGGAGGGTACGTTTAAAAAGGTCCGACTACATCAGATATGACACTTCTACTTATATGCCCAGGCCGCCTAATGAGGGGATTAGATTATATCAATACGCATAATCATGACCACATCATGTCTGAAGTGTCGGCGTGTCCTCAGTCATGAGTGACCATTCAATCGATGACCGCCAACTTCCAAGCGTCTCTGTATGTATAGTTATTCAGGCTCGATACCTGCTTTTACGGCCGTGGTTTCGTCTTGGATGGGCTAATTTAGAGCAAGGTCCTTTTGCAGCTACATTAGCACAATGTGCGGTAACATCGCGTGGTGGTGGTCTAACCGTGTCAACTCGTAGTATCATTGCATAATGTGAATGCGTGGCCGTCGAAGACAACCTATAGTTGATTCGAAAAAAAAAACTTTGTACCTCATACATTATCTCAGTATCTTCGCATTATCTCAGGAATGCAGCTATGTGTTTACGTCATTTAGTGATTGTTTATCGGTTCTCGAATCTTGTTAAAGCATAATATAAATTACTGTGGATAATATATATTATCCCGCACCGTAGACAGTGTTTATAATTGCTTCACGTGCAAAAAAAGAAAATTATCAGGTGTCGTTTAACTGGTTTAGAAGATAAACAAACTTTTAAACGTCTAGTAGACATTTCGTCTAGTACGAAATGTCATATTTTTATAAAAAGATTTACTTTTTACCTTTAAGCGCCCGAAAGATATCGGCGGTACGGGATGCAATTATTAAATCACTCATGTCTCATAGGTAGAAAAATATTTTAAACGCACGTCGAGCCGATAGGCGAGACGTTTAAAAGGTTTTTCTACCTACGAGCGGTTTAATGATTCTATCCCGTACCGCCGATATCTTTCGGGCGCTTAAAGGTAAAAAATACATTTTATATTAAAAAAAGACATTTCAGACTAGAGGAAATTGCTACTAGACGTTCAAAAGTTTGTTAATGTTTGTTACGTTTAACAAACCAGTACCTATAGCGCCTTTTGGGGCGACTAACGGAGCGAGCGAGGGGGTGAGTCTTGCACGTGCGAAATTTCGAGTGGGTACCTCCAACTGACTTGTGCACGGCACCCTACTGACCGGTTTCTAGCGATGTGCCAAATTTGAGCACAATCGGCCCAGCCGTTCTCGAGATCTGGGAGCGGCACCCTGCACGTGCGCACGTGCAAAATGGGTCCCAACTGACTTGTGCACGGCACCCTACCAACTGGTCCCTAACCGTGTACCAAATTTGAGCGCCATCGGTCCAGCCGTTCTCAAATTCTGGAAACGACCCCTGCACGTGCGCACGTGCAGTAGCATCCCAACTCTGGCACATGGATATGCAGTGCCTAGTGGGTGCCTACCTACATGCCAACTTTCAGCGCAATCGGCCAAGTAGTTATCGAGATATTGCAACAATTACAAAACTGACACCTCTTCGTTTTGCACGTGGCACGTGCATAAGGGGTCAGTGGTCACCCATATGCATCGGGAATAGTCCAATACTTGGTAGAAGGAATGAAGCTACCCTACAAAAATTACCGCGTGTAAATCGGTCAAGTGGTTGCTGAGATACAAGCCTCGCAAAAGCGTCCGCACGGCCGGCCGCTCATACTCAGAAATTTCCGTTAATCTAAGGAAAGACTACGCTCGCTTCGCTCGCTCCGCAACCAGTTGACGTCTGATAATTTTCTTTCTTTGCACGTGAAGCAATGGTAAACACTGTGTACGGTGCGGGATAATGGGGCTATCTACGGATTGTTCTTCCTGATAGCTTGAATATCTATGTTGAATGTTGACTTCTGTTGAAAGTGTACGTCCGTCGGGGAAGCTGACAGCACGTCACGCCGTTGGACACGGCCGGGTACCTATGACTGCGCTGAATTACACATTGTGTCTGAGAATTGATGTTGATTGGTTCTGAGTGGCCGACCACCATTTGAAGGGCCGACCTCCACTCCCGTCTCGCAATGCAGAACGTGCAGTTCCCACATAGTAGTGTCCCCTAGACTGGCGAGTGGAGACGGCCGACGGAGACGTGCTCTTGGCGGTCTTGAAAGAAGGTGAAATCAGCGATGTTTCGAAGGTACCTTATACGAAAAATGAAATAGAAAGTGCAAAAGAATGCAAATAACAAATTTTGTCTTTACATTGATCCGGTGTCTTTGTACGTAAAAAAAATAACATCCATGAAATGGACGTTTATTTTCCATTTCGCAGTTCCATTTCGCCAATTACCCATGCCTAGGAATATGGGTATACGGAGATCAATGGACATACCAGTGATGCCACGAGCTCCAGGGCGGTGTTTCACCGATTTCAACGACGCTGCCAACGCATCTCGCGAGCTGACGTCACACTTGTCGTAGTGTTGGAGCAATGGGCTTCGTGTGTGACGTAAGCTCGCGAGAAGCGCTGGCACCGTCGGTGAAACACCGCCCAGAGATTCCGAGCGGCGGGTGCTTCCGCCACTTGTCTGGCACTCCTACGAGCCGGTAACTGTTTGATAACGTCACTGGAGGCGACCTCCGCACAGTCAGAGGGCAGATGTATAGTCGACTACAGAATGATGTTCCACTTTTCACAGGCAATTATTTGCCTGGGGTGGTAGGCTGTGCCGCATCACACGGGCTGAGTTCACAAATTATATCTCTGTCCCAATGCTCACAATCGACACGCTTAATTGCGCGATAAACGGCACAACTTAGCGCTCCGGTCAACTGATAGCTTCTGAGGAGTGGAACATCATTCTGTAGTCGACTATACTGCAGCACCCCCACGTTTGGTGCCACATTACACCGTTTTTGATGTCACATTGCGCCTCAGCGAACGTCAGCGCACGACTAAACTGTGAAAGATTTGGTCAGGGTTCCTAAAGGGACCCTCCCGGCTCCCACCTTCAAAAAGTTAATGAATTGGCATGAAAGTGATGTCGCTCGGTTAAGAAAGAGCGAAAACGAATATCTACAAATTTCACCGAAAAATGTTCACCGGTTTTCAAGATATTTTATTTTTACTTTTGTTTACCTACTTTTTGGGATCTCCGCTGTTCCTATCTAGCGACTTTATAGCGACTTTATTGGAAGCAATAGCTTGGTAGCTGAAAGTGCGGCACTTGTTGCGCGCAAAGCAGCATATACCACCGCGTGCTACCAAATGTTTTAGTAAAAGATTTAAAATCGTTAGATCTGCGCTGACGTCATACATTCAGAGGGGGCATTCAAATGCATTAGCCCCTCTGAATCGAAATTGCTGCAACTTGGAAATAAGATATTTTCGATTTGCGGCATTTCTCGATGCTGTGAGTGCTCAAACCGGTAAGTGCAAGCCAAGGACTCCATTTAGGCTATCTCAACTCAAAACTAACGTTAAGGTGGGATGTTCACTTTAATTTGATGTCACCTGACTAATCGAACGTCGTGCTTATAAGTGATTTTCATCGATTACCGATACTCGTGTGCCGATAAGGTTTCGTGCAGTCAGCTCTCTTCTCCCCCTCCTACAGTTTCAAAATCATCCCCCTCCCTTACTCCATTCTCTTTCTGCCTTCCGTTATCTCCAAGAGTCCGTAACATGGAACCGCGAGGGTTTAGACTAGGGCTCCGAAAAAAAAAAACTGGCAAAACAGCCAAACAAGTAGTGTGACATATATCATGCGCTGATACGATATGAACTGAGTGTGTGTGCGTGTGGCGTGAACTGTATATCTGAATCTCGGTTGGTTGGTTTGGGTTAAGCACCACATCCAGTGGACCAAGGCGCTAACCGGAACTCTCACGCTGTTCCAAGCGGTCAGGTAGCGGCAATGCCACGTGCACTGCCCGGGAATCGAACCCGGATGGCCGAATCTGGAGGCAAGTAACTTACCCCTAGACCGGAATGCTCCCCTATCTGAATCTCGGTGTCCTGTTTCCATTACATGTAAATCATAAAAGCAATGTGGTCAAGGACCGATTGCACGATGTAAATGCATGCATACACACATACGTCCTGTCGAACGAGACAAAATGTATTGACGGCGTGTTCCGCATACCCCGGGCCTTCGTCGGGCAGGAGTGGGTCCCACAGTCCGCACATTCGGGCGGGTGTGGGATGCACCCGCTCCGGGTAGGTCGTCAGACAAAATGTGGACCTCCCTTACGCCGAACAGACCTTCGACCAGGTACGCGACGGACGAGCGAACGAGGGCGACCTGCGGCAGGGCGGGTCAGCTGCTCAAACGATATTGGCCAGGTAGTCCTTCACCTCAGCCGGGCTGAGCCGGCGGAAGCCAGACTCGTTGACAATGCCGATCTCGATGTTGTTCTCGTTCATCTGGCCCTCGAAGCTCTCCTTGAGGGTGAGGACCGCGGTGTGCACGGCGTCATCGAGTTCCATGGTGTCGCCGTACCTGGTGGCAGGCGCGTCAGTCAGGGACAGGAGCACAGCACACAACAGTCACAGTTCGGCGAGACAGGGATGCCAACCAACCAGACTGCGACATCGGGCAAGGACGAACAGACGTCAGTTTCAGCAGCGCGAGAGAATCGCACACATAGTACGATGATGTATTTGTCAACTGACCAAAACAAATGCATCAGCACGCAGCAGCTCGTTTCGATGGTTTGTAAGCGAGTTAATTTGCTTACCATCCTCCATTAACCCTCGCCGGCACAGGGTGGGAGTGGGGGGGGGGGGTATGCAACCCCCTAAGGTTTTTCGCGAATAAGTCGCGTGAAAAGCGGCGAATCGCGACGAAACTCTCAGTACTTTCGCATTGATCAATTTTACACCTACCCTGAAAATTGTATGACCCTAACCCAAATGACCTATGACCTGTTGTGACCTACTTTCCGAGACCATGTTTGCCGGAATCGCGATTCGGCGTATGTCGGCTCGCATTAGCCGCCAGTTTGCAAGCTTTTCGTGGTTTCAAACGTTCAAACATGTGACTTGATGTTGCTCCCATGCATAAGGTTGGATGTCAAGGTCACCTGAAGGTCAGGTCAGGTCATTGATTTTTGGTGACATCGGTTCACTTTTTCGAGTTTTACATGATTCCAGGCTAGTTTTTGGAGCTGAATTCGAATTTAGCAACCATTTGAACATTTACGAAGTAGTTTTGGTGCCTTCGTAACATGTTACGAAGCTGTCAGAGGCGGTTGACACGTACGACGATTACTACCCATCACGTTTTCAAATGGCTCGCATTAGCCGTTTGCAAGCTAACCCTTGTGACTTGATGTCACAACTCACAAGTCACATGTATGATCATCTCCCCTAATTGAGATTATTATCTCCCCTAATAAACGTTATTCGCGAAAACCTTAGGGGGGGGGGTCATCAACCCCCTGGCCCGGCGAGGATTAACCCGCGCCGGGCTGGCGAGTGGGGGAGTTTGGACACACCCTTGCGGTTTCTCGCAGATATCTAAATATGGCGGCGTGGAGCGCGGCCATGACACTGACCTCTCAGGTTAATGTCAAATGGCTGCCCCAAGTTGTCTCTGAAATTTGGTGGCGCTAAATCGCTATGAACGATAAACTCAGCGATTCCGATGCCGCTAATATAGTCCAATTTTAACCAGACATTGTACCGGTTTTGGTGACCTGGTGACCTGACCTGAAATGGCAGAGACCTGAAATTTTCATGGAAGGTGAAAAAGGTGCCCCAGAGGGCATGCCAAATTTGGCGGCGCCGTTTTTACGTTATTCGCGAAAACCTTAGGGGGGGGGCCGGGGGGTCATCAAACCCCTGGCCCGGCGAGGGTTGACCCGCGTCGGACTGGGGAGTGGGAGTGTTTGGACACACCCCTGCGGTTTCTCGCAGATATCTAAAATGGCGGCGTGGAGCGCGGCCATTTTTTGGTACATCTGTTCATGCATATTTTCCGCACATGTGAGAGTTTCAGGCCAAATCATTTCTTCCCTTTTCAAACGGCTTCTACCACCCATTAATATGTGACCCAGGAGTCGGGTTGTAGGGAGAATGGGCGTTCGTCTCCCCCCCCCCCTCCCTCCAGGACGTGGGGGACGTGAAAATGCAGGACATAGGCGGCGGAACGGGATGAGGGGGCACCGGGGCACCTTGCCCCCTTGATTTTGCCATTTTAACATTAGCCCTATGGGCGTTGCATGGAAAGAATGGGACCAAAAGTCGGCGGTGCCCCCCCCCCCCCTTAATTGAAGGTGTTCCGCCGCTACTGATGCAGGATCCTCAGCGGGAGACGGTTCAAAAAGCGTGACACGCTATGTTCCTTCCCACATGCGTTTTATATAGTGGGAAACACGTTAGGCCTTCGCACTCCTAGGCTTATCACGCTGTCATATATCGTCGCGTCTGTGAGCGAGATAAACCATCATGCGCACTGTATTCCGTGAAGCTGTTACAACACCGTCGGCACAACAAATGTTGGTACAATGCGCCACGGAGGCCAGACTGTGTTCTCGTTCATCGAGAGAACGCAAAAAATATCGGGTGGGTGGCAATCGTGGCGCAGTTAAACAGCGCCCGCGGCGCAGTTAAACATCGCCCGCGGCGCAGTTCCTCTCCCTCGCCCCCTCATGTGGGCTAACGACATAGTTCGTCGGTTTGGCATGCGGCCGCCACCGACGGGAGCAGGCCGGGGAAAAACACGAAACTACCGCCATCTGTTGCCCAGGATAGACAGCTTGCCGAAGTCGTGTGCGTGGTGCTGTGATGCTATCGCACGCACACGGGTGTACTGAGGTGCGTGGCTGATTGCAAGTCAGCTGGCCACCAGCTAGTGAAACCTGTCTGTGGACGTCACGGCAATGTTATATGATCCAGATCACCCGTCCGGTGTCTGCGGTAGGCAAACATAAAAAAATAGACTCGCCACGGAATGAGTAATGAGGTACTGGTTAGCTAAAATACACTGCCCGCATTTGTTTGTAGACCAATGTCTCCCCTAGCTCCTTTCATCCTTCCGGCTCTGCAATAGCCACAATGGACAGAAAGAGACTAATCCAACAAAACTATGCCTTTGTTTAGGCTAACGGTAATTTTAGTTCCAAGGATAAAGACGAGTGAATGGGTGCGAGGAGCGAGCATTTGCAACATGCATTCCACATACAATGTACAGTCCACAGCAGAAGTAATGTGCGGTTTCAGTCATGCATGGGTATGTTCTGCTTCTGAAGCTTAGGAACGATTAGCCAGACTACAATGCAACTTTGAATGTAACTTACATGTATCGTCACCCTTGCAGCTGCAACTTTATCTAATTCTATTGACCTCTTTTTCGATCACCCCGCATTTAAAAATCGTCAGTCAAAGCCATCCGTTGTGATTGGTAAAACCGCACATTCCTTCAGCGGTGGGCTGTAGGTACACATCTATGGCCTTGGACTGTTCTGACTTAGATCGCTCAACCAATAACAGCCTCCACGACTTGCGAGATCCCAATCAACCCTATCAGCCGCTTTTTGGAGCCCCGTAATTTTTTATCGGATAGTGTTGTTCTCAGGTTCGTGCGAAAGGAATCACACACAGGGTACATTTCAACCATAAACGATTATTCAGCAAGAAAAACCGTTCTTAGAAAAGGACACCATCTCGTTGGTTAATTGAGCCTGGTTTAAATAACAAAGGAGACGACTTTCAAAGTGGAGGTACCATTTTTTGTGATAGCAGATAACTAAAGCAGGCTGACGATTCTGTTCAGGGAGATAAAGCCAACTCCAATAAATGGCCACCTTAGGTAAGAAGAGGTTCGGTGCACTAGTGTTGTGAATGAACATGAGCCTACAATCATGCAACATCTAGGACAAACAATTCCTCACACGAATTCGTCGATAGCAGAAAATACATAGGTTTCACGGGCGATTTTCCTCGTCTGTTCTGCGATGTTGTTTCCGCTGGTCAGATAATGAGGAAAATATGCTGGATTCGGTCAGGTTCCAGTGCCCGTCTGGTCTGGAGAGTTCCCTTCCTTAGCTGACGGAGAGAGGCCTCTGACGGCCAGTATCCGGGACATCTGAGCTCTGGTGTGTAAATAATCCATGCTATACTCAGAGCCAGAGACCGTTTACATTGGATGACGACGGATCTGGGCGCTGCAGGACTCCCCCACATTTAACCCTCGCCCGTATGGGGGGGGGGGGGGTCGAACGGACTCCCCTTGTTTTTTTTTTCGCGAATAACTCCCGTAAAAAGCGGCCGATCGCGACGAAATTTTCAGCACCCTCGAGTTAATCATCTTTACACCTACCCTTAAAATTTCATGACCCTGAGCCAAATGACCTTTGACCTATTTCATGAGACCATGTTTGGCCGGAATCGCGATTAGGCGTATGTCGGCTTGCATTATCCGCGCGTTTGCCGTCTTTTTGTGGTTTCAAACAAACATGTGAAATGCTATTGGTCCCATGCATTATGGTGGGTGCCAAGGTCACCTGAAGTTCGGGTCAGGTCACTGACATTTGATTACCTCGGTTCACTTTTTCGAGTTTTACATGTTTCTAGGCTAGTTTTTGGAGCTGAATTCGAATTTAGCAACCATTTGAACATTTATGAAGAAGTTTTAGTGCCTTCGAAACATGTTATTAAGCTTTCAGTGGTGGTTGACACCCATTATGAATACTCTGCAGGACGCATACTGGACTACTGGTTGAACTGACCTGACCTGACCCGACCGGGCCTAAATGCATGAAGAAATCCTCTGAGATCAAAACTAGCATGAAATTCGTGATCAGCACCCCGAAAAGCCCCAAAGCAGCCTCACTTTACGATGTTTTAGCAGGTTCCGATTTTCCCGACTTTTGGGTAGTTGAACTGACCTGGAAGGTCAATCAATGACCTAGGACCTTAAAATTGGGTATCATCGGCTTCCTCTCATCACGGGCAGCAAGCTCGTTTTTTCCGCGAAGCTCTAGCTCAGTCAGGGACCAAACGGCAAGGTCCCTGCCCCCCCTCCCCTAAACGTTCGCGGCTGGTAAAATACCAATAAGGGTGAACGTTAAATTGGAAACGACGTTTGAGAAGATGGTTAATCAGCATCTACAGTCTTGATAGGCTTGTGCAAGCATTGGTTTTATCAGCACCAATTGTGTCGACGGTTAGTGATGCACGATAATTCATCGATTGATCCAGTGCGAATAAGCATGAATTGAGCCAAATCACAATGACTTCCATATTACTCCAGTTAGTTACCGCCGCTCCAGCATCATTATCGCTTATGCCTAGAAGACGAATATTTGAAATAGCATGTTGAATAGTTGACTGACTTTTGTACACGTGTCATAAACACTCACTGAAACTGGAGGCCTTCAGCATCGATTTGACCAGTTACAAAATACAACACATTACCATTTACATTTGAATGGCAAATATATATTTTCTAGCTAACCATCAGTTACGGTTTCTGCATGCAATACGAACGAAGGAGGGGGAAACTTTTGACCCATGGGTGGAAACATGCAAAAAAAGTGTTTTTTTCTTCTTTTGCCCAAAAGTGAATAACAAATTCGAAAAAGAAACATGATTTTGATAGTCATAACAACCGCGAATAACCTATGTTAAAAAATAATTGAAAAAAATACTTCAATAATCATATGAAAGCGTGTAAATGACGGTTAAGCCAAAGCTAAGCAGTCAGCTCTTTAGTGAGCTCCATCACGCGATCGGGAAATTCTGGGTAGACGGCATTTAAAGATGGTCCACATAGCCCCGACTTAATAAAAGCGTATTGCATATCTATAAATCATCCTCAAGCTATGAAAGCGTCGGTAGTTGCCAAGAAGCGACGAAGCAATGAGCCGAAGCTCCGTGGCGTCCTCTACAGAAGACCGTCTCGTCTGTGACCCAGCAGACGGTGGTGTCATCTATCGTCTGGTGTCGTGCACAGCTTCCAGCAAACGTGACGGTGCGTAACACCAGGCAGCCTCGCACTACCGCCATAACTGTTCTAGGCTGTGAACTCTTTTGTCTTTTGAATAAAATTCTACTTTTTATCAATTACCCAAAGATATCCATGGGCTACCAATGCTTACCGTTAATGAGTAATGCGTCTATTGCACCCTAATCACAAACGATCCCGTAAAAAAGTAAAGAGCGTAGGACTGACCAAGCCCAAGGCCATTAAGACGTGACGTTTCATCGCTTGAAAATTATTCTGCTAAGAATGTCATTTGAGTAACTTTTGTGTGATAAGAGTAGCGTTCTTGAGTCAGATCAGCGCCATTCCATTAGTACCACACATCGATCGTGATCGTGCCTTTAATCATGCACTCACCGTTTCTCGAGGAATGTCCTGCCGTTGATGAAGTTCTTTCCCATGGCGGTGGCCTTCCAGGCGAAGTAGGCGCCGCTGGGGTCGCACTGGAAGAGGCGCGGCCGGCCGTGGTCCCAGCCGCAGACGAGCAGCGACACGCCGAACGGGCGCACACCGCCCGACTGGGTGTACTCCTGCATGACGGCGGCCAGCCGCTGCACCAGCTGGCCCGTGGGGATCTCCGTGCCGTACATCAGCTGGTACTGCTGCGCCGCGCGCCGCGCCCGCTTCACCAGCACCCGGTAGTCAGGACCCATGCCTGGCCGAGAACATACACCCAGTTCAGTCATACTAACGGGTATGCGGGCATAACGTTATGCGTGTATGCACGCACCAGTATAATGAAATGGCAATTAGCCATTGGTCATCAGTAACAAAGCCACCACATGACTTGCATGCGTTTTTACGTCATGGAGTTACTAGCAGAAATCGTTACCTATTTGTTATCCCCTAAACATTAAGCAATAAGCACCTATTTTTTGTGTCATGGAAGAATGGGCCGATACATTGCAGGAACAAAAACAAGTCGTGAAAATGACACGTAAGATGCTTGAACTAAGACGCTTGACGCGTCAGCTGCTGACAATGCTTCTGTTAAGAATTTTGCAGACTCAACTGTTTTTTTCAGAACTTTTCTTAATTTCTACCACAGATTAAAAAAAAATCCTGAGAAGGTCAGAGCAGGAAATACATACCGCTGTAAATCATGCCGATGTGATTGGTGACCTTCTCCACCTTGTGAATGCTGTGTTCGTCAGCCAAAATTGATTTGAACTTGTTCTCTGTGGCGATGACAACGCCATTGGTAGCTGAAACATCGACAAAAATCAGGTTTACAGATGCTCACAAATTACAAAGTGAAACAGATAGAAATACAATCAAAACTGGTGCAAGATAAGAGTTCAATATTTGTGAGTAAATTCATCCCTACAATACAAAGTTCTCCACAATTCGATTTTTGTCTAAAAAGTCACACTTCTGGTGAAACAATTTAAAATCCAGCTCATTTTTGTCATTTCTCAATGCATGGTAAATATAAAACATTTGTTTAATCTTTTATGAATATGATGAAACCAGTCTTACCTTTGATACCTACTGAGGGAGCACCAGCTGCCACAGCTGCCAGAGCATATTCAATCTGTACCAGTTTCCCAGATGGGCTAAAAAAGACAAAAAGTCAACATAGAGAGGGATCATAGCCAAGAGGGCATTTCTATGGCAGGAAACCAGCTATAGGCAGCTACTTATTATGAGCTAGTGCAAACCATAAAGCCAGTCTTAAATAGATTAATAGTGACAACATGGTGCCGTGTGGTGACAATATGGATACCTAGGTAATAACAATGTCAATATTTGTAACAATGTGGTGTGGTTCTGTTTGATTTTGAGTCCCGGATGCAAAAGGCAATTTTATCCTGTGATGTCTTGCCATACCCAAGGCGATAAATATACCCAAGGCGAGTCACTATAAATTGGGTGCAAACTAGCTGATGTCATGGTGTGAGCACTTGGGGGGGGGGGGGGGGCGAAACAGCATTTATGATATAGGTAGTATTTAGTAACTATTACACAAAGAAATCATATTTTTCAATTATGTGATCCCAAATGTTACGTAAAATCCCAAAGCACTAAGCAGTACATTTTTCAAGAGATTTGTTGTAGGTACCTAGTTAAGTTCTCTAATCTGACCAAGAGGTTTCCTCATAGAATGTGCACTATTCACACAATCACATCAACAAACCCGAACATGTTACAGGTATGAAAGTGACTACCGCCCGAGTCTGTGAAACCAGCCAAGTGTGTGTTGGCAGCTGAAATTGATCTGCACAGGTTGCACAAAACCTTACGGTAAAATGAAAACAAAAAGGGAAGACATGTCGATGTGCATAATTTCCGGTGAATAATTTCCTGACATATCACACTATGACTCCCTCTGCCTATAATGGTGTAAGCATCACAATCAAAAAATGCTCCTTTTGCTGTTATGATTTACAAACGATGAATAAATCCACGAAACGTCAATTATCAACAGAAATGAGTTTCCTCATTCGGCATTCCTGCCTACCTAGACTGCAGACGCTCGGAGACCAACTGATGCACCTCACCTGAAAGTGGTCAGCGAGAAGCTGTATCTCTCTGAAGACATGACGATGAAAAGCAGGGAAGCTTTATCTTTTTAATCTACAGCTTTGATCAAGTTTGATAATACCCAAGGTCTAAACACCGGCTCCCTCAACGCGAATTCGACACGAATAATACCCCGCGTTCGATGTCTCTCGGACGGCGAAGATTCTACGCCGTCCGGCCAATCACGTTCCATAACCGCAGCCGAGCCCCCGCTGACCTTGGACGGGATTGGCCGGACGGCATAGAATCTTCGTCGTCCGAGAGACATCGAACGCGGGGATAAACAGCAAGTCACTGGTGTAAGATGTGCGCCAGATTTGAACCAGTCACAATTGAGGATCCTAAAACACTGCTATAAAAGAAATCCAGGAGAAGGCGCAAATGTCGAAGCCTAAAATACTGCCGTCCAAACCAGGGCACATATTCGAAGGAAATTAATCTAAAATTAATGAAGGAGCTGTTGGAAACTTTCTATAGCACACAAGTGGTACATAAAAGGCGTTCAGTCCTTATCAAAACACGCCACAATTCGTCTGCCAGACTCCTGCGCTGTGAAGGACTGGGGTTTGGCTATTTCCACTACCTCTTTTCCATCCTGAGCTCGCACACGCTGTCTTTATCAAAGAGTAAAAATCGATGGCGGCCAGATGAGCATATGGCACAGCGATTTTGCTGGCTGGATAAAACCGCGCCCAGGCAGCTTACTGTCAGACCAGCTTCTGAGCCAGCATCACGAAGGCCCTCGTAGTTCCAAGGCCATATATAGACGTAGTTCTTTTGCCCGCTGTCAGCCTCGTGCCTCGTGGCGACTCTGCCGCCTCCGGAGAGCGACCCGACCATCCTCTTGGGGGTGGTGGGACACTGCGGGAACAAGATCGCTCGAGAAGACGAACTTAGAGACGAATGCATCAGCGTGAAGGTGATGGGTAGGACGGCTCTTCAGTGCTCCTTATCATGGAGCGAGACACACCATTCCGGGGGCTGATGGCCGCCTACTGTATGTAGTCGTGTGGACCTGTCGGTGGACGCGGTGCAGTTCTGGTTCGACGGCGTGGAGGCCACGGCGGACGACACACCGCAGACCAGGGACATGGAGGACGAGGTCACCATCGAGGCGTTTTTCACACCCGTTCCGTCATTCTATCCTCAGGATATTGAATTCCTTCTCCTCCACGCCGCAACCCCCTTCGGGCTGGACAGGCGACTTTATCTCATGCGGGCTGCTCCCGAGGGAGCGCACGCCGTAGCCGGGTGCAGTGAGTACCTTGGGGCTGGGTAACCAGTCCTCTGGACGGGCTCAGTCCCGGTGACTCACTAGGGTGCCTGCCCAGACCAATGTCACTCCCTAATTCCTATCATCCTTCCGGCTCTAAAATGGTCTCGTTAGACCGAAAGGGCCTAACCAAACAAAACAAAACAAAACAAAACAAAACAAAACAAAACAAAACAAAACAAAACAAAACAAAACAAAACAAAACAAAAAAATCGAGGTGTTTCATCTGCAGACCACGGTGACCCGTAGACCAGCCGACAGCCCCGGCCATCGGCTGCCTCCGGATCGTGATGACCGCCGACCATGGACGGCCGGCAGGATGTCGGGGCTCCGCTCGGGACCCGGCCGGTAGTCGGTGGGCGACGGTGGCTGGTGCTGTCCGCAGTCCGCACACCACCGGGGCCGTCGACTCGGCGCGGCCTGCCTCGGCGGCGCCGCTAACGCCATCTCATTCGGCTATAAGCGCACCGGCCATCGGCGCGCCGGTGGCGCCGCCTGGTCCCGCAAGTTTATCGCGTGTTTGCGCACGACGTGGACCGAATAAACTGTTCCAAGTTCCACCAGGGCAGCTTCCTGGCGATTGTTGCCTGTGGATTTTAGAAACACCAAATATGCATGATAGGTGGACCCATAGCAAATTTCGCTCTTGTACATAAAATTTCGGTGATTCTGGGTCAACGTTCAGGGGGGGGGGATGGTCAAGGGGGGTTTGTGCGTTTGGTTTTAATCGCCAAAACACGTCAAACGTTTTCTGCAGCTAGCTGTTGATCAAGTAAAGATACAGCAAAAATAAAAGCATCATTGAACACAGCACGTCTATGCGCATCGAATGGTGTACTTTGTAAAGTGAACCCCTGCACGAGTCTCTAAAGTCCACTTTGCGACCCTCGAGTGTCATGTTGCCATTCATTACAGGGAAATCAGACTTACAGAACCTACCATGAATTTCAGGCCCTGCGAGACCCTTTTTCGGCGATAATGCCTTCAGTTGTTGTCCAATTAGCTTGAATCGACGTCATCAATTAAGAGTAGCTTTTCTGCCTTACGCTTGCTAAAAACGCCACATTGTAGTCCGTATTAACAACTCCAGGGGGCCATGCAATGGAAAATTATGCGTACAAAGACGCGAAAATCCAGACATTTGCTTATTAAAGCTTCAGGGAGTGACGACTTCGATGGTCCTTTTCCGCCCATACCGAACATGGTAGTCGTCGCGCCCTCAAGCTCCAACAAACAACAAACGCCAGGATTTTCCCGTATTTTATACATAATTTTCCATTATATGAGCCTACCGAACTGCTGAAGTCGTGTCAATGCTAGTGACAGTGGTTTCCAGCTAAATATAGTTCAGTATTACATAAGAATACAGCTCTGTGCTACCAGTAACGGCAGAATGCTGAGGCGTGTCATGTCTCTCGCTCACCGTCATTCCACTCCTGGTAATTACCAAACACAGGCCAGTTCTCGTCGCGGAGTGTATTGGGCATATAGTTTAGTCGGTTCACGAGGTCTCCATGGCCGTCTCCTCTGTGTATTTGCCCTTGTCCTTGCCGAGGGCTGCGGCGCGGCCGGCGGCCCGCCGCTCCAGGATCTTCTTGCGGTCCTTGTTCATCTTCAGCTTCACGACCACCACCTTGGAGGGGTCGATGCCGACGTAGACGGTGGCGCCGTTGGCCTTGTCGCGCTGGATGCGCTCGATGTGGATGACCCACTTCTTACGGTACACCTGGATCACCTTGCCGACCTGCTGCCCCTTGTAATGACCGCGAACAACCTGAAACACAAACGGAGAAATATTGTAACAGCTCAACAGAACGATGGGATATAACGGGTATTCTAGCCGAAAAAGGACTGGTATATTCATTTAGGCGTTAAGAAACAAGTCAGCGTTGATTAACAAATGACTTTAAAATTTCGCAAAATGTTCGAAAATGAGCACCAAGTAGTTTACTTTACGCTATGCTATGAAGCAATACTTCAGGTTTCGACTTCACTTTTTCCTTTCAAAGCAGATCAAAGGGAGGTAACTCATAGGGAAATAAATCGTGCACACTAAGTGTGCACGATCAAGTCTTGATCGTTGAGAGTAAAATCGACGTTTTGTTAACATTTTCCTTTTTTGTGAGTAAGAAAGCGCTGCATAACGCTTAAAACATCAATAAACGAAACATTCCCAACGACACAGAGGAAAGATCATGGAGTTTTTTAAGCATACCTATATTTTAATAGCGTCAGGGTCTTGCTGAGTCCTTAAAGGTCAGCGTCAGGCTCTGAACCCTAAACTGGTTTACGTCGTAAGAACCCCAGATACCGATGTAGAGCCCACATAGAAAAGTGTGAAACTTTCAGATGTTAACCCTCGCCTGTATAGGGCGGGGGGCGAACGAACCCCCCATGTAAAAAAAAATTGTCGCTTTGGGTGGGAAACGATATCAAACTGAAATTTTCCATTTTTCCAAACTACAATTTTCCACTCTCACAATAAATTATCAAGAGCAATTCTCCACTCCCTACTTATCAAATAAAGAGTATCTGCGCATATGCTCTTCAACATATTTAAACATACATTACAAGGAACATCCTACCACATTTGTGAGGAAATATACGAGGGGGTACCCAAAAGAAACGGGAATTGTTTCATATCTGTTTATTCACTGATCCCTACACATCGTCACTCATGTCATTCTTAAAGTACTCTCCCTGCGAGACAATGCACCTATGCAGACGCGTTTTCCAGCTCTCAAAGCAGCTCTGGAACTCTTGCAAGGTGATGCCTTGAAGAGCCATCGTCGTTTTTCCTTTTACCTTATCAAAGTCGTCGAAATGGACTCCCTTGAGGTCTTTTTCATTCTGGGGACCAGGAAAAGGTCACAGGGTGCCAAATCCGGTGAATAGGGAGGGTGGATCCGTGGGGTCATGCATTTTTGTCCAAAATTGTCTGACACTCAAGGCGGTGTGCGCTGGCACACTGTCGCGATGAAATCACCACTCCCCGCTTCGCCACCTGTCGGGGAGTTTTCGTCTCACCGTGTTTCACACACGCCGCAGAACGTCCAAGTAAAACGTCTGATTGGCAGTTTGACCAGGGAGGAACAATTTCCTTTTGCACACTTCCCTTTGCATCGAAAAAACAAATCAGCATTGTCTTGACATTTGGCTTCACTTGGCAAGCTTTTTTGGGGCGCTTTTGGGATAACATTTGACCACTTTTGAAGTGCGAAAATCATTCATAAACCCGCGTCTTGCTCACAGCAGCATATTTGTATGCTGCTTGAAGCATTGGAACCGTTTCAGTCGCGGACTTCCCCAGCCGGAAACAAAATTTCACAGATGCGCGTTGTTGCTCAGTTCCGCTATGCATAAAAAAACGACGGATCGGGCGGGAGTGCTTCAATAAATACGTGCGCCACACGGCCGCGCCTCTTTATTTCGTCACGTCACGGTGCAGACTAAGTCCCAGGGGCCAGGCTTGTTTGCCCCTAGCAGGGCAATGCCGAGCTACAACTGGCTTGGCCTACAGAGAACGATTCCCGTTACTTTTGGGTACCCCCTCGTATGCTATCAAAAATCAATCCGTTTTTACTCCGTTCTTTCCATTCGAAGCTGTTTTAGCTTTACCTAACCGGTAGTTTTCCACTCTCATCTCTCTGTCTATTGAATTATTTTCCCCTCTGACACCCAAGCTAAAATATAAACTTGGGACGCTGCCGGGCCCCTCCTCCTCTCGGTTTTTAGCGAAAAACTCGCGTAAAAAGCGGTCGATCGCGACGAAACTTTCATTACCCTCGCGTTTATCAATTTTACACGTACCCTAAAATTGCATGACCCTGACCCAAATGACCTTTGATCTGTCACCTACTTTTCGAGATCATGTTTGGCCGGAATCGCGTTCGGCGAATGTCGGCTCGCACGAGCCGCGCGTTTGCAGTCTTTTCGTGGTTTCAAGCGCTCAAACATGTGATATGATGTTGGTCGCATGCATTAGGGTGGGTGTCAAGGTCACCTGACGGTCAGGTCACGTCACTGACAATTGAAAACCTCGGTCCACTCTTTCGAATTTTACATGTTTCTAGGCTAGTTTTTGGAGCTGAATTCTAATTTAGCACCATTTGAACATTAACGAAGTAGTTTTGGTGCCTATGCAACATGTAACGAGGCTGTCAGAGGCGGTTACCACCTACTACGAATACCCGGCAAGACCCCTACTGCCTACTGGTTGATCTGACCTGACCGGACATGGCCTAAATGCATGAAGGCAACATCTGTGATCAAAACTAACAGGATATTCGTGATCGGCATCCGAAGAAACCCATGGCAACCACACTCTATGACGTTCCAACATGTCCCGGTTTTCCAGACTTTTGGGTCATTGACCTGACCTCAAAGGTCACCATTTGACATATGACCTTAAAACCGGGTACTGTTGGCTTCGTCTCGTGACGACCTACACGATGTTTTTTTTCCGCGAGGCTCTAGCCCAATTTTTCGTATTTTACAAGTTTCTAGGCTAGTTTTTTTAGATGAATTTTAATTTAGCAACAATTTGAACATTAACGAAGTAGTTTTGGTGCCTATGTAACATGTTACGAGGCTTTCAGAGGCGGTTGACACCTACTACGAACACCCAGAAAGACCCCTATCGGTTGACACTTGACCTGACCGGGCCTGGCCTAAATGCATGAAGGAAACATCTGTGATCAAAACTAGCCTGATAATAGTGGTCGGCACCCAAAGCAACCCATGTCAGCCACACTTTATGACGTTCAAACAGGTCCCGGGTTTCCCGACTTTTGGGTCATTGACCTGACCTCAGAGGTCACCATTTGACAGATGACCTTAAAACCGGGTACTGATGGCTTCGTCTCGTGACAATATAAACGATGTTTTTTCCGCGAGGCTCTAGCTCAATTAGGAGCCAAACGCGAGGCGAGTCGTAGCCCTCTCCCCCCCCCCCCCTTGTGCCGTCGAAGGACGCAACATGGCCTGCGCCGGCGAGGGTCAAGGTGGGGCTTCATATATGTATCTGAGGATGACAAAGTAGGCTTCAAAGGCTCTAATAATTTTCCTTACATTTGAATTAAATTACCGTAAAACGGGGTGTTAAGGGACAGTTTTGAGGTTTTTTGTTATATAACTCAAGAAGGGTTGGAGATAGAAGCATCAAATTATCAGCATTTTATGTGGAATTTGGTGCTTTACATGCCTGCTACATTAAAGTTTTTAAGATTTATACCTGCATATTATTTTTTATTATTTTTCATCACTGTCCCTTAGCACCCCAATGTGGGGTGTTAAGGGACACATATATCATTCCAAGAAATGGTCATCAAATGCCCACAATTGGGGTGTGGAAGGGCACACAATTTATTTATTGAAATATTTTGCATATTCTGTCACAAAACAAGTCAGGTTCATTCACCACTAATGACCTTTTTAGCCAGTTACGTGTAATGCAGTTTACGCTTGTGGAAAATGTGCTAATTATAAGGTAAACAGAACCAGAAAGTAATCTTCTGTCTTCAATAAAAACCCATGTTGAAGCTAGTCACTTGTCATTACGTTGCCCTCTTTGTTTTAGCCTTTTTATGATGACATCACATTTACCTACATCAGTCTCCATTGACTCATCATTGTAAAAGAGAGTGTTGAGATGTTTTGTTACATAACTCAAGATGTGTTAGAGATAAAAGCATGAACTTGCCAGCATTTTATGTGGAATTTGGTGTTTTCATGCCTACTGAAAGAAAACTTAATCAAATTATATTTAGATATTATTTTTATTTTTTCTTCCCTGTCCCTTAGCACCCCACATCCACCTCAAAATACGCATGTATCCGGAAAAGAGGAAGAGGATGATGAATGAATGGGTGGATTTGCACAAGTTTTTCAGGAAACATGTGCAATACATGTGACAATACACCTATGCATTCATTTTCCCTGGGCCCTGTTTCACCGGTGATAGCAGCAAGCTGCTATCACGTTTCGCGAGCTGACGTCATGTCGTGACGCCATACTGTTGTCGTAATGGGTAGTTCCGGCGCACGATTGCCGCGACCTTGGCGGCGGCATTAAGTGACGTATGAGCCTAAAAGTAAGAGTTTACGCAGTCATGATAGTATATATATTTTTGATATATATTTTTTTCAATATGATGTATTTAAAAGAAGTTGGGTTTAGGAAAAATTTTGACATTAACTTCGAACATTTAGCTGATGACGTAAAACAATATTGCGGCAATCGTGCGCCAGAATTGCCCCTTACGTCAGCAGTATGACGTCATCACATTACGTCAGCTCGCGCAATTTGATAGTAGCTTGCTGCTATCACCGGTGAAACAGGGCCCTGTACACCCACTAGTTTATGTGGTACACACAGAGTTTTGGAGATGTTTCAATTTTGTGAAAATGTAGCATGATTTTCAAATCCATTTTTGAACCAAATCACTTGCATGAAAAACCATACCATTTTGTCCTATGGTCAAGAGCAAAACAGTGTCAACTACCACACTGAAGTTTTTATTGAACCTTCTCAAATTAGAAAGTTAATATGACTCAAAGTTTTTCCCATGCAACTGTCCCTTAACACCCCACTGTCCCTTAACACCCCATTTTACGGTAATAGACAAACGTCTTTTGTTTACATTTGTAAATGTGCGGCTATTTCCCGATTCCCAGACGGGCATTTGTCGGTACCGCCAAAATTTGGTCTCTTTTGATCGATGCTACGCCCCCCCCCCTCCCCAGCTGTGCTATTCACCAGTCACCAACGGAGATGTTCGAGAGCGAAGCCTTGAAATCTTGGAAGGTTGGGGATGGCAGAAGGTGGCAATGGTGTGAAAATGTGGCGGAATATGCTGGAAATCTGTTAGTCAGCCCTTTGCAAATAATAGCGTATCTTTCTGGAACTTCCGACGTTAGGCCTTATCGAGAGCGAGAGCGAGAGCGAGAGCGAGAGAGAGAGAGAGAGAGATGGGCAGTGAGAGGAAGGATGATAGAGGAAGGAAAAGATATGGATATGGCTCATCAGAGACACAATGAGGATGTGAAGGAGACTGATAGGCACCCACAGAGAGGAAAGGTGAGAGATCAAGGAATTTGAGAAAGATAAACATACAGGGGAGCAATGGGCATAAGGAGCAATTCCTTTGATCTTGACAAAACACCCCAAAATAAAATATCTAGGCCATTATCATCAGAGAAAAATCAGAAATTGAACATCTAATTCACTAACATCAATTTACCCCAGTTTGAAATGTTAGCACCAAAGCCTGTTTCGCCCAAACGCTGGTGGCAGCCAAGACTGCCTAGGAACCCACTGTACATGCTCAGTATGACAAGTAACAACTGGGAAATAGCTGCAGCCACTGTGGACCTCATGACTGACTGGAGGTTGGTGGTGGTTTCTGGTGATTTCTTTATAGCTTGTTGGTACTTTGAATTGTATCAGTTTCTGATTTGTAGTCTGAGAACTTTTGATATTTTGACTCCATAATGTGCATGTGCTTGAATGGCAAAAAGGTTTGCTTAAATAAGATTTATCTTTCCTAGCAATTTCCAATAAATTTTCTGCACATAATGGCTTGTGCCAAGTTTCAGCACATGAGAGTCCATGAAACAGCTGATATTTTGCATGATTTTTTTCCATCTGGCACTTCACAGTTTAGTCTAAATCATTTGAGCGCTGTCACAAATGTCAACCCAGCCGGCTCAGATGGGTGGCCTGAGATGAACATTAAGCACCCATTAATAACGTGGTTACTGGTTCATGATTTGAATGTAGTGAAGTAAGTTAGGTCAACTTGTCAAACTCATTACCTTATATGAAATTTACTTTTTATTGCAATCAAGGAGATGCACTATACACTTGGAGATTTCTAATCAAATCAAATCAAATCAAATCAAACCAAACCTGACCCAACCTTAACTACAACCTATAACCTACAATTGACCTAAAACGCCCTACCTCTCCTTGGTTGCAAAAAAGTGATCCCTATTCCCTCCTTTACTACAACCAAAATATCTTTGTTCATTATGTACAGAAATTTAGGCATGCCCAATTATGCTGGACACTGCATCATAATTTTCAACCTTGAGCTATCCACTCATCACACCAGACATGTTGATAGTAAAATGGTTCTTTTCCAGTCTGGCCTGCAAAGGCAGTTCATTGCTCATAAAACAGTGAAAAAAACTTTGGTTTCATGTGCATGATGGTAGCTAAGTTGCCAATGATAATAACATACCTGGACTTCGTCATCCTTCCGGACAGGCATAGACTTCACATTGTACTTTTGAACCAGCTCCTTGCTGAGGGGTGCTGACATCAACCTCCTCCTCAGATGTGAAGGGGCATTGAAATGCCTCTTCCTGTTCTTGTTCCGGTCGGATGTAACAAACTTGTTGAGCTTCATTTTGCTCTGAAATGAAAAACATTCACTCAGCCTTCGAACCGTCTCAGCTGCGCCAAAATAGCAACACCAACAGGCATGGCAGTGTCCTAAGCGGTACGCGCAACAGGAAGCAGTCAAAAGAAGAATGCCTCTATTTTACGCTCAGAGGTAGCAGACAGAATGGTCTGTTGAACGTTATCAATGCTGTGAAATGAGATTACCAAGTTAATATTCGGTAAATAATACAAACAACCTCACGCACCGGACGTTGTTCCAGAAAGACCGCGCCGCCGTATACAAAAATATTTTATTTGTTATTTCGGACATCATCCTAGCAAACCATTTTTATGTAATAAATTCTTGAAAATTTTAAGAATTTTGAAAATTTGAATTACTTTAATTGGTTTGAAGTCACTAATATGTGAAAGAAATATCTTTGAAGAAAGGGATGTGACATGTAAATTAAACAGATGTCCAAACATGTATTTTACTCGCATCTTGTTTCCTTGACATGGCGTGAATAAGGTTAAAACTTCAGGAAATACATAACTACAAGTAAAATGGCAATGTATTGCTAGTTTGATGTCGCCTGATTCTCTACTATGTCGTCCATCATGGGACGACGATTTGGTTGAAGTGGACGTTTTCACCTTGCTTTTGTGCTTTCGCGAATTATATTACCTGGCTATTCGCTTGTACTTTGCCTTATTATCCCGCGCCCGGCTGGGGGTCCTGGATTTCCACGCCCTGCTGGGGGGAGGGGTGTTTGAACACCCCCTCCCCCTCCCCCTTCTAACTCGGCTCCTGGGCCACGTAGCGATACGCGGAAGGCGGCGTTCGAAAGAGCGTCAAAAATAATGAGGAAATCACTTCGGTCAATTTTTTGGTCAGGTCAAAGGTCAGGTCACCAGAGGTCATTGAAGGCAAAATTTCGCCGATTTCCAGGTCGAATGTCGACAATTTCCAAGAAGCCAACGCATAACTCGGGAACCAATAGAGCTCTACAGCGCCGCGAAAAAGCGCATTCAGTGGTAGAGTGACACCTACTATGGATAGCCGCTAGGACGCCTAATGGTTGACCTGACCTGACCTGACCCGATCTGGCCTAAATGCATGAAGAAATCATCTGTAATCAAAACTCACATGATATTCGTGATCAGCACCCCGAAAAATCCGATAAAATCTTCATTTTACGCAGTTCTAGCAGGTCCCGATTTTCCCGACTTTTGGAACACTGACCTGACCTGGAAGGTCAACCAATGACCTAGGACCTTAAAATTGGGATCATAGGCTTCCTCTTGTCACGGGCAACACCCTAGTTTTTTTTTCCGCGAAGCTCTAGCTCGATCAGGGGCCGAACGGCAGGGGGTCCAACCGACCCCCCCCCCCCTCCTACACATTAGAAGCTGGAAAACGCCGTACACATGCGAGGGTTAATAATTGTCAATATTGACTACCGCAAGAAGTAAAAGCGGCCAACTTAGCCATTTTCGAAGAAATCGGGCTAAAAATGTTGACAATGGGTCATCGGTTCGGTATGTGTTCAATCACATGCTCCATTTTCCTTTTTTTCTTCAGCACAAATGTAAGTTTTGAAGACAGTCACAATAGCAAAGGCTTCGAAAGATGGATAGTGGGCAACATATCCTGAATTCGCCGTGCTGCATGGGAAGTAGTGTTGATGGGAAAAGTTTTTATTTTTTGTTCAGATTATTGTGGTGTGGATGCAGAATACATTGTCTGCACCCACTGGAGAAATATTGCGGGTGCAGCTGCACCCTTGCACCCATGGTTCCTACGCTTATAGCCGCCTCTTCTCGCAAAGCTCTTTTTCGGTCGAAATTGGCAGAACATGACGTCATTCTGACGTCATTTGTGGCCATCCTATCATTGCCTCTGGAAAAAAGATTGGGTCACAATATTAAAAATTGATTCCCGGAGGGGTCCTGAAAGTTTGGTGGCGATATCTGCAGCCGTTCAGGAGATATTGACGGAAAAGGACAGGGGGCCGTTTCGGCCCCTACGGGGCGCGGGTTAACGTAGTCACTCAGTAGAGCCCACCAGTAATAGGGTGAAGTGCGTGGACAACGGACAACCTTCACTTCCAGGCACTTCAATGTTGAACCCTTGGGCCGTGAGGTGATCCTTCTCGAACGGGTCACGGTGTTATGAAAAACCCACAATATGTCGTCTTGTCAGCAAGCGCGCTTATTACCTCACAAAAGTGCTAAAAAGATCACTGAATTCAGCCACGACATATTTGAAGCACAGATAAAACTCCAGCCATTGCTTCAGCCATTTAGAAATAAAGAAGAAAACTTGACCTTAGTTTATTCCAACATGGTGCCTAAGCAGCGATACCATGATATCACGAATGCTTCTTGCTTGGCCCCATCTGACACACAAGGTTACTGACACACAAGGTTACTCACGGTTTCGGCTTCCTGCCGAAAAGAGATACTTTATTACGACTTTAAGCAGGACTTGCGAGTCCAACTGACATGCTGCTTCTCCGATAACCTTCCCACCAAGCTATGCGCAGCTCTTACACAAATGGATCCCCACATAACATTGGCGCAATACAAGTTTATTCAGATGCCCCATCAGATCTACATAAGTATCCCGACACTACCCCGCCCCATCACTCGTGCAGCAGCCCGGAGTCTTTCAGCAGCTGTGGCAGCGGACGGAACCCCTTGACGCCGACTTTGGTACCGGCCACGACACAGGCGGTGCGCAGAGCACGGTTCACAGGGTCGCCGCGCCGCAGCCGCCAGATGCACGCGGCGATGAAGGTGTCTCCGGCACCCACGGTGTCCACTACGCTGGGAGGCCGGTGCGCCTGGCTGGTCACCACCGAACCGTCGGCCAGGCAGGCGGCCGCCCCCAGCTCACCCCACGGACAGATGAGCACCGACCTGTCCCGCGCACAGGGCGTCAGCGAACGACGGCCGCGGCGGGAGTAACACCAGACAGATGGCGATTCAATCGGACCAACCGAATGCAATACAACGTAATACAGATCTTCCGTAAGCAGAGCAGTTTATGGCAGCTGCGATAAGCTGATCGTTTACAACGGATTACGGAAAGCCTTGGATTTGACGTAGAAACAATAATCGTAATCGACGACTCAAAATCACATTGTGGATACGTTTAAAAAGTTTGAACGGTAAAATAGCATGCGCAAACGAGGCAGTTCGAGCTGGCATAAAGTGTTAATGTCGGATGTATCATCAAACCATTTTCCTTACCTGGGAAGCGTCCTAGCTTTGAGCCCTCGGACAGCGGACTCCATGTCGGTGAAACCTTTGGACATGGCCACATCCTTGGAGATGAAGACGACTTCTCCCAGGGAGAAGAGGGTGTCCAGCTCGGGTCTGTTGGCCTTCTCCAGCTCAACAGAGATCGTCAGCTTGAGCTCCGGATTCTTCTCCCGCTCAGCTCGCACATATTCGACCATTTTGTTCACATTTGCTATGTTACGACCCTTTGGAGAGAAATAAACAAGACGTACTTTAGGAGTTAAAAGAAATATGGAAAGACAACGTATAAAGTTAGCTGATGTTTTTCTGGACACGACTTGCTTAGCCAAGTGTTGGTTTGCTTCTTCGGGATTCAGTAGCACGTACTATGCAGAATAAGTTCAGTGGCAAAGTACGTTTTTTTTCGTGTTAACGTAATGCAAAAAGGCAGCAATTTAAGTCCAAGTAGTTATGTGACATATCACGCAGAATCAACTGAAATTATAAACCCGAGGCGGAAGGTAGAAATCCCGACTGCACATCAAACGAATTAAGATGTATAATAAACTCACAATTATAACGCCACTCCCACTTCCGTGATAAACGTTTCTTTTAGATGATCGATGGAGCATAAGCAAAATGATGTTGGAATTTTTGCCCAACATGTTCGGAGTGGGAGATCAAACACAGACAAGAGTCCTAGAGGGGACACGTGCATATCAGCAAATGAAATATTTACATATTACGTATAAGCTCATCTTAGTGTGTCATTTCAATATACGACGTTTCACAATGAATGGTCTGCTGCTGAGACGGTGACAGCGGGCGTTCCACTCACCTCGAAGTGGATCCAGTCGTACTCGCGCAGCGGCACGTGTCGCAGCGCGTCGGCCGGCAGCTCCGGCAGGTCGCCGTTGCTGTGCACGATGGTGCGCGTGCCGGAGGCGGCGCTGACAATGACGCACGAGGTGGGCGTGCGAGCCGGCAGCCGCGGACACCGGTCCACGTGCACCCCGTCCCGACGGAAATCCTCCTCGAAGAAACTGGGATAGGTAGTAGAAACGGCCAAGATTACTTTACATCTAGAGCCGGCAGCGAAAGGTTCAGCAGGGAGCTATTTGGACGTGCTTAGAAATGTCCATAGTCTTACTCTTACCAAATGAAGAATTCGTTAAGAGTAGGCATTTCAAACCAATTGTTCGAGAGATATGCCGAAGCCACACCAATTCTTATATCTTTAAACCGTTTAGCACGAAGAGCACAAACTTTCGCCCACCGAAAAAAAATCCTGAAATAGCACCGGGAAATGGATACCTCAAGTCCGTGCCAAGGGCGTGCATGATTTAACAGCACGTCTTTATGCCTCACCTGGTGAGATCGCCCTGAGGAATGGAGCCGAAGAACTCTGCGTTAGCGCCCAGAAGTGAGAGAACAGTGGCCGAGTTGGAAGCATTGCCGCCCCGGCACCATTGTTGGTCCAGGCACCTGGAACGTTCGTGAATCAGGGTGACAGTCGGACCAGGTCAGGTCAGGTCAGGTCAAAGTAACTTCAGTTCCGGCGTCAGCTTTAGCAGAATAATACGAAAATGGCGACACATTTTTTGACATACCTACATATTTTTCCATTCATCTCTGAATTTTAAAGCTTTATTTTGCCCCTGACGTCACTTGTTACTGACCTGTTTCCGAGGCCGCCGGGCACCTCCAGCGGCGATTTGCTGCCCACGTCCGTGTCCTCGTCCGGGAAGCGAACTACGTAGTTGATGATGTCGACACAGACCATGCCGACAGTCATGACGCGTCGCTCCGCCATGGTGCAGGACTATGACAGACCGGGGATATATGTACGGTATGGACACCGCTGAGGTCTATTGCGACCCGTTTTACCGATCCACAGTGAATCCTATACCGATCCATCGGAATTCAACTTTACTTTCGTTTTCCGCCTCGCCCGTTTCGCTGCGCTTATTGGTTCTCGAGTTATAGGCTGGGGCGTTTACCTCCCCCTTCCACCCCCCCCCCCCCAGTGATGGTATCTGGCGGAATACGTAGCAACTGGCAACTGCCGGATTATAGCGACTGTAAGGCTATGTGCCGTCATCAAAGGTCACCTGCGTTTTTTTCATAACATTTAAACAAAAGAGGTACTAACAGTCGCACGAATGATCTAATTGCATTCAGTTCGTCAAGGCGCATCGAATGATTAGCGTTATGCCGACTAGTGCTGCCAATTGGGACTCTGATCGTCGGAATTTCGATTTTCTCCAAAGTCCAATTCGGGATTCGGCCGAACAAAAGCAGCAGGCTTTGGACAACATTGGACAACCTCCTGCCACACCTTAGCATTTTCATAAAGTAATGGTGTACAGCATTGACTCATGGCGAATGGGAAAGCTGAGCCCTCGACATGATAAACACTTTTGGGCTGGTAATGGGCTGGTAATAGCTGGTAATAGCAAATCAAATAAGTGTTGAGTGTAAATTATTGCATAGTTTTCGCCTTTCGGACATCTTTGGACAAACAGCTGGGTTGGGTATTTTTAGACGGACGGTCGACGAGAATACCGGAAATTGGACGGACATTGGACATACCTTTTCTGAAACTGGCACCACTAATACTGACCTTGAGGTCACTTGACCTAGGTCAACTTTTAACACTGACCTTTCAAGGTCAACACATACATTTTTATGATCTTTGATAAGTAAATCTCAATGGTAATACTACTTTCCCTTAAAAAACAAGTGACGTCTAACAATAACGTCAAACGTCTATTTTGACCCATATATCACTTTTGACCTGACCTGAACATGACCTTAGTCTTGGCGCCTGTACTCCACGCCCCTTACCGCTTGTCACTAGCTTGCTTCGTTTTCGAGATCTTTGGGGGAGGCAGGACGCAGGTACCCCCCCCCCCTCCGCCCTCCGGTCCGTGCGAAGTTGGCCAAGGCGCAGGCGTTCCGTTTGAACTTCGAATGTTTAAGAAAATCAAAACGGTTGCATCGGTATCTTGATACAAGATTCAAACCCAGCTTGAAGCGGTAGTTCCTGACATAACCATGCCGCAGTGAGACGGACACAAATGAAGGTAGTGTGTTGTTGACATTTGAGAATGAAAAACGCAATCATATCATTATATATAATGAAATCAATCATAATGAAAACAAGTGCCGTTTACTGATGTCGTTAATCGCCTACCTACAAATAATTGGAATATGTAAGTACCTACATGTGTATAATGTATATGTACCTTATTGAAGATTATTCGTACTAAAAAAACAGTGGCGCGGGAACTTTTTCCAGACTGGGGGGGGGGGGGGCTGAACCATAATAGAAATCAACCTAGGGTACCCCCAAATCTAGTTTTCTCACCGGTTTTAGGCCACTTATTTTTCAGACCTTGGCCTTTTCAACAACAAAAAAAAAACACGAAAATATTTTCAAAAAGTGAGGTATTTCGTCTCGGCTGAGTGAAGAAACTACCGTTTTGGCAACCTGGAGTAAAGGTTTTAATCTGCCAAATGAGTTGCCGAGCCAGTGAAATAGGTGGATTTTTCACTTAAATACATGCTTTCTTCCTTTGTGACCCACAACCCCTAATTTGGGGAGGACAAGCTGCCTAACGGTTCCTGGCCTCATGAAACGTTGTGGGGCACCGCCCCCACGGCCGCAGAGTTGTGGGGGCAAGCTTCCCCCACTGCCCCCTCCCCCGGTTCCCACGCCTATGTATGAATCTATGAAATTATGTTGGTAGATTTCCGATTTCGATTCCTCCAGCTGAGGGGGGGGGGGCTCAAATACATTACGAGCCCTCCCAGCCGAAAAGCCGGGGGGGGGCTCAGCCCCCGCTAGCCCCCCCCCCCCCCCGGTTCCCGCGCCACTGAAAAAAACAACGAAATACCCAATAAAGTAGGGCGATTTCAAATGACTTCCAACTACTTGTAAACCAAAAACTTGGTGGCCGATTGACATTCGCTCTTATTCACCGGCTTAAAATTGACAAGCAAAACATTACTGTTCTAAGCGAAGGATATTATATATTAAACCGCGAGTAGGTAGAGAAAAATATTTTAAAGCCGAGCCGATAGGCGAGAGTGAGACGTTTAAAGGGACCATCCCACCTTAACATTAGTTTTGAGTTGAGATAGCCAAGTTTGCGGCCAGGCTCAGAAACCACCATTTATCCTGGTCGCAACCCCCGCAGCTTTATGGTGTTCAAGAAATTTCTTCCCTTTACTTGCAGGGTGGGACCAGCTTAGTCCCTATCTCTTAACCATTACGGGAGTCTGATGACGTCATCAGGCTTTCGAACGTCCGTTAAATGTTTGACTAAAACGTTTTGTAGCGCGTGGTGGTATATCCTGCTTTGCGCGCAACAAATGCCGCACTTTCAAATAAAGTCGCTAGGAACAGCGGAGATCCCAAAAAGTAAACAAAAGTAAAAGTCTAATATCTTGAAAACCGGTGAATATTTTTCGATGAAATTTGGTAGATATTCGTTTTTGCTCTTTCTGAACCGAGCGACATCACTTTCATGCCAATTCATTAACTTTTTTGAAGGTGGGAGGGTCCCTTTAAAAGATTTTTACCGCGCACCGTACCGTAGACAATAGCCGCGTTTACATAGGGCTAGTTGCCAGATAGTGGAATTCCGATAATTTGGTAAGGAAAGTTAGTTTAAATCTGCACAGAAGGGCAAAAAAATCTGGTGAGTTTGGAAATTAGAGAACCCTTTCGGGAAGTTTATGTTATAGGTATGTCCCCTTGCAATTTCGCAGGCTACTTTCGGGAACCGCAATTCACCAGACCAGTGTCCCGTCCTCTTCACTTCCCGGGGAATAAGTGACCGGCACATGGCCGTGAATGTCTCATGCCTAAAATTTAAAATCCGATCAGCTCCCGGCTCCCTCCCTTCAAAGGCAGGGGCCATGGAACCGATCACTTTTTGGGAACTCAGTAATGGTTTCCGGGATGTAACGACCGATCTAAAACAAAAACTCTCCCGCGTAAGTTAAATCCACGGATCGTAATACATCAAGGCGCACGGAACGTATTTACACAGTAGTCAGTACACACCCTCTTTTTAGCTCCGCATATGGGCAACGTAGCGACACACGGTAAGCGACGCTCGAACAGTGGCGGATCCAGGGGGGGGGGGGCAAAATGGGCATTTGCCCCCCCCCCCCCAAACGGCATAATTTTAACATTACGCCTATGGACGAGGCATGGAAAGAATCGATAAATTGTTATGGTTTGCCCCCCCCCCCAAAAAAAACTGAGCTGGATCCGCCTCTGCGCTCGAAACGGCGTAAAATAAAAATACCTAATGAGGAGAGTTATGTTGTCAGGTCAGAGGCCTGTTTCACGAAAAACTTGTTCTGAGGCCTGTTCTGCAAACAGGCCTCAGAGGTTAGGTCTCCGATGGTCATCAATGGTCAAATTTTCCCGCTTAGTGATATTATACGTGCAAGGGCGCACACAAGGGGGGGCACACGGGCCCGTGCCCCCCCCCATTCGAGTTGGGGGGCCCAACTCGAGGGAAGGGGCCCATTTGAGGCGGCCGAAGGCCGCCTCAAATGGGCCTCTAACTAATCCTTAGACCACCGAAGACCGTGTACAACGGGCCCTCAAATGGCCTTAAAGGGCCCTAAGATGGTCTCAAAAGGCCCTCAGATAGCCTCGAAGGGCCCTCAGTTAGCGTCATAGGGCCCTCATCTGGTGTCAAAGGGCCCTTAGATGGTGTCAAAGGTCCCTCAGATGGCCTTAAGGAGCCCTCAGATGACCTCAAAGGACTCTCAGATGGCCTTAAAGGGCCCTCAGATAGCCTCAAAGGGCCCTCAGCTAACGTCAAACGGACGTCAGAAGGCCTTAAAGGGTGTCAAAGGTCCCTGAGCTGGCGTCAGAGGGCCATACCCTTGCGTCAAATGGCTCTCTGAAGGCTCTAAAGGGTCCTTAGCTGGTGACAGAGGGCCCCCAGCTGGTGCCAGATGGCCCCCAGCTGGCGCCAAATGGCCATCAGAAGGCCTCAAACTGTCCTCAGTTGGCGTCAAGCGGCCCTCAAAAAGCCTCAAGGGGCCCTTAGAAGACCTCAAGGGGCCAGAAGGCCTTAAAGAGCGTCAAAGGGCCTTGAGCTAGCGTCAGAGGGCCCCCCAGCTAATGTCAGAGGGCCCTGAGCTAGCGTCAAACTTAAAGTGCCCTTAGCTGGTGTCAGAGGGCCCCAGTTGGTGTCAGAGGGTTATCCATCGGCGTCTAATGGCCATCAGAAGGCCCAAAAACGATCCTCAGCTGGCGTCCAACGGTCCTCAGCTGACGTCAAGAGACCCTCAAAAGGCCTCAAAGGCCCCTCGACTGCTCAAAGGGCCCTTAGAAGGCCTCAGTGGGAACTCAAGAGACGTTAAACGGCCCTCAAAAGGCTTGAAAGGGCCCTCTGCTGATGGCAAAGGGCTCGCACCTGAGTCAATAAGAGCCTTGTCAAAAAACGGACCTGAGAAACCTTGCCGGCCCTGGTTATCTGCGGGACTCCTACACTTCCCTGAGTGGCCCCCGTTTACTGAGGGGCCCTGGTTATTGATGGGGTCCCTGGTTACTTAAGGGGCGCCTGGTTACCAGAGGGGCCCATGGTCACCTGGTGGGCCCCTGATCAATTGAAAACCCCTGGTCATCTGAAACGCCCCTGATTACCTAAAGGGTCCCATCACTTGGATTCAGTGACATAGCAAGGGAGCGAGGGGGTACGTGCCCGTTCTCGGGTTTAGGGTTCCTTCGAAACCGAGGGGCCCTGCGGCGCCAGTTGGTAGCAGAGGGTTCGCGCTGGCCGCACTTCA